CGTCAGGAAGAGGAGGATGCAGAGCTGCAGCAAGTCCTACAGCTTTCCCTGGTGGAGAAATAACCCCTCCGTGGCCTCCTGAAATGAGGATGATAACCAAATCTGCACAAAACTGAAGGCTTTGGGGCTGTCAGGCTGAAGACCACTCCTGGATTGCTTAAGTAAATGTTTCACCTGCCCTCGAGGTTGGCACCATCAGCTACCAAAAGCTGAGTTATATTTGTTTGAGGGAGTTTCAGGCCATGGGACTCTGCATGTGGCTCCCCAGTGCCGCAGTCTTGGCTCTGAAGGAAGGTTTTTATCTAAATGTATTTATTGAAGAGCAGATGGAAACTTTGCTTAGCATCAGGATATAGAATCGCAGCAAAGCTTGAAAACCTGATTTCCAGGGAGTTTAGGAGGGAAACTTCATTACTTACCAAAGAAATATTCACCTGCTTAGTCATTTCTGAGTAATTCAAAGCCATTGCCTGTTTCTTCCCGTTGTGACATGGAAGAGTCTCTACATGCATACACACACATAGGGTAGTTCTTTGTGCTGACAGATGGTTTGTTAGCTTTGTTTATATGTGATTCTCTCTTTAGTTACTGAGATTTTAGCATGTGCTCCTGCTTAAGAGGGATAATTTTATACTTGAACAGCTAATCCAAGCTCCAGATTAAACTAGTGCTTTCTGCAGAAAGGACAAAACAAGCAGCCAGTAAAAGCAGATCCTAAACTGGGACCATTTGCCAAGTAAAGCAGCAGTTTCTGCAGCGATTCCAAACCAGCTCCTTCCCGTAGTCAGAGGGCAGCAAGAAAGTAAGTGCTAGATACAGGTGCTTCTCTGCAGTCACTGCGTGCACGAGTGTGCCTGGGTGTGGGTGCTAAAGTCAAAGAGGAAAACGGGTCAGGTGGAATTTTAACGTATCCTTAGTGGAAGGTAAGTGTTAACCTGCCATCGGAAGGGAAGCGCGTGTTGCTTTTTAGAACTCAACGGCTCATCCTTCGTGTGAAGACATATATTTTTTTATCTGAGTATTTTTATTGATTTTAAAGCAAGCCAAATAGGCCTCTACTCCTCCAAGTGGCATTGTATGGGTTCACAGGTCTGTTTTAACCAGCTCTCCTCAGGTCTTTTCCTCATACGAGCTATTTGTAGCTGTTTTATCTGCACTTCTGTCGGTGTTTACAGTACTCACACTGTGACTCTCAAGTGCACTCCACAAGTACATGATGTACATCCACGGGAAAGCCTTACTGTAGTTAAATGTGAGCAATATTCCTCTGTTCTGGCTGGCAGAGTGGGAAGAACCTATGGTACCTATGGTCTGATCTTGCTACCTAATCCTGCACTTGTTCCTCAGGCAGAACAGGGCAGTTCTGTGTGACCAACTATTAACCAGTATAAAATCACTCAATCGTAACCAGGGCGATGGTTGGTGACTTGGAACCTTATTTTAAACCAATAATCCATTCTTTTACATAGGAAATGATTAAAATTCCTTCAGCATACACTACAACTGGTTTATCTGCATTATTTCTGTTCATCTGAACGGCTCGGGGGGTCATGGGGGGAACGTTGGCTTTCAAGGGGGGGGTGGCCTGAAAAGGGCATTTGCATCGTTCCACCTGACCAGGAAGGCCATTCCCTGTACCAGGAGCTGCTTTTCCTAAACCCCAGCTTCCCTCTGACACTGTATGTATGGGAAGTGTCCTCTTAATCCTCTGTGTGTGCTGGAAGAACAAAGGTTCTGCACAGCATTGCACTACATAAATTAAGTATTTTATTGCTAACACAGTAACTGGAGTCCTTTGAAATAATGACCTGCCTTTTTGTACATCAAAGGTGATGTTATGGCTATGGAGTTATCAAAGGTAGCTCTGGTGTAATCTGAAACACAGACATAATCCCTGGAACCACGTTGCTGATGCTTTCAGCCAACTTTTGCGTCTCCCTCGTTTGGAAACCGATGGACCCATGGCAATGAAAGGAAGCACCATGGGACTCCTGAGCTCCTGTTTCTGTACCTGCCTTCGTGTGAGTAAGAGGAGAGGAGCAGCAGAGGGTGCACAGTGTGTTTAATGTTAATGCTGTGTAAAAGCTGAGTCCAACCTGTCTTTCCAAGGAACCTCGAGGCTGATGTGGGAAAGCAGCAGCTCAAACACCTCTAGTTCATTCCAGAACTACAGTTGGCTTTTGAAGTGTTTGAGATGGGTGCTGTGTCCACAGGGTTGATGGTGGTTGCATTTGGTTTTGAGACTTAACCACATGCTTTTTTCTGTGCTTTTTGGACTGTTTTAAGCATACGGGCTAATGTTCAACAGCAGCAACTGGTGGTGGGCTTAATGTGGATAATCCTTCTTACACTGCCTTGGATGTCTTTTGATTCCAAAATGGAATCTTCCTAACTGGACTTTACCTGTTTATGTCACTGGTGAGTGCACCACGCTCAGAGAGTGAAGTCTGAGGTCCTAGTTACCAGTTTCTTGCTGAAAAACACCCAAGAGAAGAGGGGCTTTGCCCAGTGCTGCTGTCCTGGCCCTGGTCAGAACTGAGAGCTGATGGGAAGTGAGAAGGGGACAGCTCCAGAATTAACAAACGGAACATCCATGAATAAAGAAGCGCCTTGGGCTGTTTAGTCAGCTTTTTATTTGTACAAAGAGACGTGGCAGGGAGCGAGGGATGAATGCAAACCAGCATGCCGCTCCAGGGAGTGCCGAGCTGGAGCTGGGAGCTGCATCCACCCGCCAGGAACAGCCGGTGAGGACTGAGAGGAATCAGCAGTAAGGACTCGGAGATCAGAGTGAAAGGGATCAGAAAGCAGCAGCCAGCGTTACCTTGCTTCCTCATCCATGTTTCACTTCAGGTAATACCTGGATCTGTTCTAGACCAGCCTCCTACTGGAGCATGAGCAAAGCAAATTCCCCGTTGCAATCATGGAGTAGTTTGGGTTGGAAGGGCCCTTCAAAGCTCATCTAGTCCAACCCCCCTGCAGTGAGCAGGGACGTCCTCAACTGGACCAGGTTGCTCAGAACCACATCCAGCCTGGCCCTGAATGCCAGCAGGCAGTGTCCTTTAAAACAAACTGAAGGGAGAACACATCGGATGCAGCACAAGGGTTTAGGGAACAGTCAGCACAGTCGTTCCAGAAGGGAAGTTTTAAAACACTAAATAAATTACTAGACAGACCCCCCTATGTTAAATAACAGGTATACTCAAGAAGCAAAATCCAGTTACTACTCGGAGCAGTGCAAATGAAAACAGCAGCATTCATACCAAGTGGGATTCCAGTGTAAACACCTGAATCTCTTACTGGTGGGACAGGGCTGGCTGGAGCTTCCCCACAAGGAACCTCCAGGAGCTGGATCCCGGTAGTGGAAACCCTCAGCTGCATCCCAGCTCCTGACAGGCTGGGCATGGACATTTGGTGCAAGGTGGGTTGGGGCTGTTGAGCTGAGAGTTAAAGCAAATACCATGGGGAATGAAAAGCCTGTCCCAGAGCAGCTACACCAGGAGCTGCTCCTGCTTTGGTGTTTCTGCCCTTAGGGAAACATGGACCAGACCCCGCAGCTGCCAAACTACAGTCATGGAATGGTTTGGGTTGAAGGGACCTTAAAGCTCATCCAGCTCCAGCCCCCTGCCATGGGCAGGGACACCTTCCACTAGAGCAGCTTGCTCCAAGCCCTGTCCCACCCTCAAGATTCATCATTCAAGCGAGGAACCGAGTTAATATGAACACAAAACTATATGTGGTGGAGCCGAGCACGCTGTGAGCAGCTGGCTGTGTTCTCCTGCCGACCCAGGGTGGTTCCAGGCACCGATCACTCCAGCACATCCTGAGGGACCAGCCTCGCTGAAACGCTGCTCAAACCCAGGCGGGTTCACTGCGGGAGGTCCGGAGTCAGCCTGCCGTGACTGCCTGCACCCGGCCATGCTGGTGCTGATGCAGCCACCCACCGCATCCATCAGGGCATCCTGTGGCTGGCAGGAGATGCAGCGGGCGGCAGGGCTGGGTACCAGGCGGGAGAACAGGGGGGGCACATGAGCAGCGCTTCCAAGGACGGAGCCAGGCTCTGGCGCCGCTACCGCCGCCGCACGGGCTTGTAGACGCAGATGGCCATGAGGATGATGGTGAGCAGCAGCGCGCTGAGGATGCTGCCGAGCAGCACTGCGGGAGGGGGACACGTTAACGGGCCCGCGCGCTGCGCACACACACACACACGCACCCCCCACACCCCGCATCAGCGTCAGAACCGACCCGCAATTAACGCACAGCGTTAATTAACGCCCCGGCCCTTACCCAGGTTCTGTTTCTGCAGCACGGCGAAGGGGCGGCCCCGCTCCGCCGGGCCCAGCAGCGCCAGGGCCGCCAGCGCCCCGCGCCCCACCGCCGGCATCCCGCGACGGGGCGGACCCAGCGCCCGCCTTTGTGCGCCCGCACCGGGCCCGCCTCTTCCTGCAGCCCGGCCCCGACCGCGGCTCCTTCCGGGGGAGCCGGGGCAGCGGGGGGGGGTTCAACGGCACCGGGTCCGCCAGCCCCCCCCCCCCCAAGCCGTGCGTGCCCCCTTAGTCCCCTGTGGCCCCAAGCTCCATGTGCCCCTCCAGCCCCATGCCCACCCCAGCTCTCGCTGCGCTCTGGGTGACCCTGACAGAGCGGCGCCGCCCGGAGGGGACGGTGACGGGCGCCGCTGCAGAGCAGCACAGCCTGGGGCTGCAGCCGGACCAGGAGCTGGTGCTTTGCCTGCACCGAGGTGAATGTGGGTTCTGGGAAGTGTTTAACGGGCGTAATCAGTGCGGAGGGATGCGGTGTTACTGGGGGGAGCGCGGCGGGTTCGCACCTCCCTGATCCAACAGCTGATCCAGTGGCAGCAGCTTTATTTCCCAGGTCACTCACGGCGCAGCTACAGGCACTCACTGCTCCGGCCGCGGCACGCCAGGCAAGGTCATAGAGCCCCATAGACGGCGTGTTCACCGCTGGGCAGAGCCTTCATGTGCACCGGGATCCCTCGAGCCGAAGGAGCTCCTTTGGCCTCTTCACTTCCAGCCCATGGGAGCCAGCGGTGGGCCCCGTGGTCCCTGCTGTGGACCTGAGAGCGGCACCAGGGGAGACGCGGGGGGGCGGTTTGGTGTGAGCAGGGCGATGGCAGCGGCTCTTGTGCCTGCCCCATGGCTCACGCAGGGCAGGGGCAGGAGGCCGGGGCAGTCTCTGCATCCCCTGGACGTGCCGCCGGGTTACAGCACAGGAGACATGGGCACGGCCTCTGCCTGCGGCGCTCCTGCGGCTTTCTCCGGCCAGAGGCAGACAGCGAGGCGCTGGGGAGAAGAGGCAGTGGGTTTCCTTCCTGCACCGGGGCCTGGTGCCGCCTTAAAGCTCCTCCAGCTCCAACCCCTGCCAGGGCAGGGACCCCTTCCACTGGAGCAGCTTGCTCCAAGCCCCTGTGTCCAACCTGGCCTTGAGCACTGCCAGGGATGGGGCAGCCACAGCTTCTCTGGGCACCCTGTGCCAGCACCTCAGCACCCTCACAGGGAAGAGCTTCTGCCTCAGAGCTCATCTCAGTCTCCCCTCTGGCAGGTTAGAGCCATTCCCCTTGTTTTATGCACCCAGCCCTGCTCCTCGGGTGTGATTTAACTGCCACATGAACAACGATGCTGAGGATGCATGAGCCATCTGCCCAGCTCACCCGAGTGGGTCCCTGCCCACCCTCAGCCCTTGCAGGGGCCATGGCATCGCCCTGACCTGCTTGAGTGACCCCGGTGTCCAGACGAGCTTGTACACCATGTAGAGGGGGATGCAGATGAAGGACGATGCTGCTATGAGGTACCCCACTGAGATGCTCCACTCAGGGTACTGATACTCAAAGAGGGTCAGCGGCGGCTGGTCCAGGAGGGAGCTGATCACTATGAACTGTAAGCAATGGAGCAGAGAGGGATGCTCAAGGGGCTGGACCGCAGCAGGAGATACCCCACTGCCGGTCACCAGCATGTGCGGCCCCAAAACCCACGTGCACGACATGGGTGGCACAAACCCTCCCTGGGGATGCTGCAGTGACACTTCCCAGCTGCCAGGCGTGGGGCTGGGAGGTCTTCATCTCACAAACCCCACAGGGACCGCGGCGTGCGCAAGCTGCACGTCCCCACTGCTGAACAGCATCACTCACTGTCTGCTTTGATGATAATTCCTCCCTCCTAACAACCACGGCCCAGCGCTCAGAGCACTAATTAATCCTCACAAGGCCTCTTCTCCGGCAGATGTGGTGAGATTAGACCCCTCTGCCTCTAAGCAGCCTTTGAAGTGCTGGGCGAGCTGCATTTCAAAGGGGACGGATCCAGCTCGGTGCTGTACCCGTGGCTGGCGGTGCCAGCACAAGTGTGGGACCAGGAGCGTGAAGTGAAGCTGTGCTTGTGCCGTGTGAGCTGCCAGCTCCCAGCTCCGCCCCAGAGCTGCCGAAGGGGCTGGAAAATGTAATTCCAGCTTGTGCCTTGGTTAACCCGGCTGCTCCCGGGGGCAGCAGCAGCGTAAGAGGCTGGTACAGGCCAGCCCTGCCTTTAATCCTGGCCATGGACACTCACCGCCAGCAGGGCCGGGCTGATGGCCACCCAGCACACCTTCCAGAAGACCCCCGGGGTGAAGCCCAGCATGGCTTTCACATCGTGGGAGAACCTCTGTATCCCTGCGGAGGAGAGGGCTGTCGCAGCACGGAGATCCATGGGGAGCACGGGCATGGGGGCATCCGTGCAGCGCCCCGTGCCCCATCCCACACGTGCCTCTGCCCCTGGCTCCCGTGGCATTGACTCACGTGCATGATGCAGGGGGGTTTGATGAACTGAGGGGGTTTCTTACCATAAACCCAGGACACAGCGATGGTTTCCAGGAGCACCACGGCCAGGATGGAGCAGCCAGCTCCAAACTCCTCCAGCAGCTTCACCACGTAGGCTCCCCCCTGCAACAGCACAGGGAGAGCGGCTGCAGGGCCCATAGGGAGCAGGGGAAGCCCTGCCCCAGGGGATGCTGGAGATAGGAGTGGGGATGCGGAGGGATGGGAGCGGAGCCCGGTGCTGCTCACGTAGGTGAGGGTGCTCAGGGAGCCCAGGAAGCACACGGTGATGAGGCCGAGCACAAAGAGCTCCCGTCGCCCAGCCAGGACCTGCGGGTACTCGTCCATCACGGCCGTGATCACGGCCTCCAAGCCCCCGAACTGCAAAGGAAACAGCAGAGCGGGGTGGAGAAATGGGATGTGGGGCTTGTGCTGCTCCCTCGGACAGTCTGGTCCCATCCTGTCCCCTCTCTCCCTGCCATGCTCGGCAGGCTGCCCTCCTTCCCGAGGCCACAGCATCCCCTGTCACCCACCCACTGTGAGCCGTGGGACGCCAGCCTGCACCCACCGTGCTGTCCAGCCCCAGCGTTATCATCATCACGAAGAAGATGATGGCAAAGAAGGTGGATCCCACCATGTTGGCGATCGCTTCAGGGTAGGTGATAAAAAGGAGGCTGGGCCCTAGGAGGGGACAGGGGTGCTGTTCCCCGGCTGCTCTGGCACACGCAGGGGCAGGACGGGGCAGCTGTGATGGACGGAGGGGAACCTTTGTCTCTGGCGACATCCTCCACCTCCACGTCCCTCATCTCAGCCATGTAGCCCAGCACGGTGAAGATGACGAAGCCCGAGAGGAAGCTGGTGAGGCAGTTCACTGCGCTGGTTACCAGCGCGTCCCTGCAGGGCAGAGAGCAGGGATGTGTCCCATGGGAGAATCCCACCCCGGTGCAGCATCCCCAGGGGTTCCCTCTGCAGCCGCACACACCGAAACCACCAGTGAATGGGGCAGGATGCTCGGCCCGGCGCACAGAGGCTGCGGGATGCAGCTGAGCATCCCGTGGCTGCAGGAGCTCACCGGTAGCAGTTGTTGTGGAAGGGGTTGTAACTGGCCAGAGCGAGAAGGACACCGAACCCGGGGCCCAGGGAGAAGAAGATCTGCGCGGCAGCATCCACCCAAACCTGGCAGGAGAAGCAACAGGCAGAGCCGAGGCTACCCCACGGCGTGCCCACCCCACGGCATGGGGATGAGGTCTGCGTTGGCACATGCTGCCAGACCTCTCCTGCCTGCCCCATTCCCCTGGGAGCAGGGAAGCTGCTGTGGGATGGAGGGGGCTCATTTCCACGCTGGGCTCCTGCAGCAGCAGGATTGAGCATTAACATCTGTGTGTGCCCGTGTTTGGAAGGGGATGAGATCGAGGGGAGCCCCGAGCCCCCCATGCCTGCTCCTGCCAGGGCAGCCTCAGTGCTGGCAGCGGGTCCTGATTCTCTTTAATGAGAATTCTCAAGTGCTGCCTGGTAATTACCCCCAGGAAGCCCATTGTGAGCCCAGGGCACAGACAAAACCCGGTGGTGATGAGATGGGTGATTCAATTACAGATTTACATTACAAGGGCCTGTCGGGGCCTCTGTTCCTGTAGGAACCAGGGCCCCATTGCCAGACTCATGGTGTCTGTGCCAGGGTTTGGGCGCTGGGGTCCCACCGTGCACTCACCGCAGTGCTCAGGAGCTTGCCCCAGTCCGGGCGCAGGTAGAAGAGGACCCCTCTCCATGCCCCGGGCAGGGTGGCCCCTCGGACCAGCAGGATGAGGAGGACAACGTAGGGCAGCGTGGCCGTCACCCACACCACCTGCAGGGAGCCAGCCCTCAGCACAGGAGCACCCAACCTGCCCGTGTTGGGCACGGCGAGGGCTGGGAGCACGGGGAGGAGGCAATGGTTGTGTTTGAGCAGGCAGGACCCCCCCCAGGGACCCTACCGGGGCTCGCTGCGTCCCGACTGGCCGTGGTGGGGATGCTCAGCACACGGATGGTGCTGGGTTCTCTTTCTTACCTTCCCAGAGGTTTTCACCCCTTTCCACAGGCTGAAGTAGACGATGGTGAAGATGAGGAACAGGCAGAGCAGCAGCTGCCAGCGGATCCCCCCCACATCATACAGACCCCCGGACTTCTGGACCTCCAGGACCTTCCTCCTGCAGGATGGGAGCCCCATAGCCAGGGATCAGCACAGCCAGGAGCAGACAAGTCCCACCTCACCTCTCCCCCAAGCACACCCATAGCGGGGACCAGGAGCTCCCCAAGAGCATCCCCACGTGAGACCCTGCTCCCTGCATCCCGGCCCTGCTCCCCAGCACCTGAATGCCTCCAGGGGGATGTGCCCCAGGTTAAACACCTCGTCCACATACAATGTGTTGTGCTTACGTGTAGAACTCTTCAGCGGGGGACCTGGAGAAGTTGGTCCAGGTCACGTTGCTCCTCCCGAAGTAGTTGGTGCAGTCGGGTGTGTTCCAGGGGTTGTCGCAGCTGGCCCAGGGCAGGGAGCCCGAGAAGGACGAGCACAGGTAGTAGAGAGCCCAGGCGATGATGGTGTTGTAGTAGAAGGAGACGTAGAGGCCAATGATGCAGATGGAAAAGCCGATGCCTGGGGATAGAGGGGAGCAGGCTCAGGAGCCGGTGCCGGTCCAGCCCTCTCGGTGCCCAGCCCGAGTGCGTGGCCGTGGCCTGGGGGTCTCTTACCTTTAAAGATGGGGCAGATGCGCTTCCAGATGGGGATGGCGCCGGTCCTGTGGAACTGCCCCAGCGCCAGCTCCATGTAGAAGAGGGGAACCCCTCCGAAAACAGCCATCAGCGTGTATGGGATGAGGAAGGCTCCTGTGGGGCGAGGAGCAGAGCGGCAGTGACCAACCTGTGCCAGCACCTCAGCACCCTCCCAGGGAAGAGCTTCTGCCTAAGAGCTCGTCTCCATCTCCCCTCTGGCAGGTTCAAGCCGTTCAGTTTGAATGTTGTCCTCATCCTTTGTCCTCCATCATCTTTACAGGGTCACACTCGTACCCCATGGATGTTTTGGACCTGGAGCTGCTCTCCAGGCTCAGGAAAGCCCTGCTGGGGTTAACTGAACCCCAATGGCTCTTCCACCGGGAGCCCTCCATGTGCCGGTGGGGCACCCCCAGCATCCCCCTGTACCCCGTGTGCCTGGTGGGGCTGGCCCAGCCGTGCCGCATTGCTATCGATATCCCTCGAGGATCCCCACTCCGTGTGGACCAGAAGCAGCTCTGGGATCAACCCGTGCATGGGGCGGGTGAGGAAACCTCCTCCTTGAACCACCTCAACACGGAGCAGCTTCAAGTTCCCTGCCAATCCCACGGGAGTAAATCCCAAATAGCTGTGTGTCAGCGTGGGCACCCGGGATCCCCATCATAGCCTTGAGTGTGGTACTAATGATCTGCTCCTCATTTCCCAGGCACCAGAGGATGCTTTCAGCAATTTAACTGCACTGCAAACAGCACAAAACTGGAATTCCTCCTCTTTCATTTCCACACAGGGGCCCTGCTCTGCTCTGCTCCGCTCCAGCTGCAGCACTTTATTTAGGTGTCATTTACGCGGGGTGGTTTCCCTTCACAAAGCTTCTGCATCTCAGCTTCGTGTTGATCCCTCACAGGTTGAACCCCCTGAGCACCGGCTGCGTGCCCCTGCTCCATGGGATGAGCCGGGGGCTGCAGCAGGCGCTGGGATGCTGGCAAAGGTGAGGTTAGAGTAAGATCTGCGTTCCCAGAGCCTCAAGATCATCAGGTGGGCGGACCTCCCAGCCCGGATTTAGGGATTCTCAATCCTTGCATGCAGTTTGGACCGCAGGAGTTTGCTCTTTGTGATCCTGGAGCTGCTAACGCACTTCTGAGGAGGGAATGGCACCGGGAAGGAGTGGAGAACACCGGTAAGGAGTGGATAACACTGGGAAGGAGTAGATAACACCAGTAAGGAGTGGGTAACACCAGTAAGGAGTGGGTAACACTGGTAAGGAGTGGATAACACTGGGAAGGAGTGGATAACACCAGTAAGAAGGGAATGGCACCAGTAAGGAGTAGATAACACCGGTAAGGAGTGGGTAACACTGGGAAGGAGTGGATAACACTGGGAAGGAGTGGGTAACACCAGTAAGAAGGGAATGGCACCAGTAAGGAGTGGATAACACCGGTAAGGAGTGGGTAACACTGGGAAGGAGTGGATAACACTGGGAAGGAGTGGATAACACCAGTAAGAAGGGAATGGCACCAGTAAGGAGTGGATAACACCGGTAAGGAGTGGGTAACACTGGGAAGGAGTGGATAACACTGGGAAGGAGTGAATGGAGGAGGATTTTGGATGAAGAAAGACACAAACCAGAGAAGAGCCAGAGGTCAGGAGGAGCTGGGTCGGTCTCTAAACCGCCCTGTCCGGAGAGGAAGCAAAGGAAGGGAAACAACAGCGAGGTTTTTGGCATCAGAAAGATGAAACCCAGGTTTCTTTGGAGCCAAGAAGCCTTTGCAGTGTCCTTACCCCCTCCGTTCTGGTAGCAGATGTAAGGGAACCGCCACACGTTGCCCAGATCCACAGCGAACCCGACGACCGAGAGCAGGAAATCCATCTTTTTGCTCCACTTGTCCCTGGGGTGGGTTTGTGGCCCCGGGGCCGTGTCCTGCCATGGAGGGCTGGCGCTGGGCACCGGGCAGGGCTGTGCCATGCTGCCGCCCCGGCGGATCCTGCAGGATTCAGGCTCAGTAACTTGGGAAGGGTTTTCCGTGCGGCTGATGACAGCTCCGAGGAGGGGAGGGTCGGGCTGACGGCGCTTCCCCCCCCTCCCGCTGGACCCAGGGCTCCGGCGCAGCTCCCTGCTGCACACATGGAGTTATTGATCCTTTTAACTCCTCGAGCCGGGAACGGCACCATTCCCTGCCAGGGCTTTGTGAGGAGTGAGGGGTGACAGCTCCCTGCAGGGGGTCGGGGTGAGCCCAGGAACCCAGCCCTGGTCACAGGAAGGAGGGGACAGTGATGCTCCGATGGGATTGCAGCCCCTCCGCTCCTGGGGTCCACGGATTTCGGGGCTGGTGCAATGGGTCTGTATTTGCGCACAGAGGTGATGCTCCTTCCTCCTGACTGACACTTCTTTCTCCTTTGGTGTATTTTGCAGTGAGTGCTCTGTGAGCGATGACACTGGACCCACCAAGGGAATAACAGCTCATTCTTGCTGGGAAAGCTCTGCGGAGCGAATGGGAAATGGGAATGCCAGGATGCAAGAGCAGGGCACAGACTTAACCCACACTCATTGTGAGCCCACTCGTGTGCTGGGTTCACCCCTGTGTGCTGCCCAGAGCCAGCACCCCTCGCACAGGGCAGGTTGAAGCCACCCCACATCACCCCATCATCCCATGGGCGCTCCGGGTTGTTCTGTTCCAAATAAGCCACCAGCTTCTGCAGCTCAGGTGTGTGCAGGGAGGCAGCGTGTGGGAAACCATCACTCCTCAGTGCAGCAGCAATTGAAAGGTGCCTGTGCAGGGTTACAGCCTGGGAAGGTCCCTGCACAGGGCTGGTGCTGAGCGAGCCCCTTGCACAGGGCTCTTGGGTGCTGCGGGGGCTCCGGGATGCTCCAGCACTGGGTTTGCAGCCCCCTCATCTGTAATTAAAAGAAGCAACAGAAGAGATCAGAGCAGGATGTGTGCTCCCAAGGCCACGGGTTGCTGTGACGACGTGACGCAGCGCCCGGCCTCTGCCCGGCACCCGAGCCTCTGGACTTAATGCTGCAGGCACACGCAGAGACCTGTTAGAAACAGCATTAAAAGCACATTTGGGGTTGGTTTGGGAGTGTTTGCCGGGGCTGTTGGACCAGAGCAGCTCAGGGCTGATGCTGGTCCATGGTCGCGCATCCCAGTGCTCTGGGTGGCTGCAGTGAGGGGACAGGACAGGCTGTGCCTCGGTGGGTTTAGTCCATCTGCGCTGGCACAGCCACCCCGGGCAGGGACCGCGGCAGGGGATGCTGAATGGGGTGAACTGGGATGCTTCATCCCAGCGGGCAGTGATGCGTGCTGTGGGTCCCTGTGCAGGGCTTCTCCCCTCTGCTTGTGAACCATGAAATCACTGATCCTTCTAACTCCTCCTGCGCGCTCCCCTGAGCCCAGCCCGGCACACAGGAGGGGGACAATTAATCTCCTGGAGGTTTAGATGGGATTTGTGTCACTCCTGGGACTGTGCAAAGCCGAGAGCTCCAGCTGCAATCCGTGCAGCACGGGGTGGACACAGCCACGGGGAATTAAAGACACGGCTGTACCCGAGTGCTGGGGCTGCAGGGGGGCTGCAGTCCCCCTGCCCGCTCTGCTCCAGCCGATCCCATGTGCTGTTGGTTTGATGCCGTTCCAGCAGCCGCATCCCTGACGGACCCCCGGGCTCCTTGCTAGTGAATGAGCCGTGAATGCACCCAAGTGCTCCCAGCCTGCTCCCACCTTCTCCTGGGGCGCCCGATCGCCTGCCCATGCCGCTGCCTCTCCTCCAGCATCAGGGCAAGGCTGCTGCTGTCAAGTCAATGAGGAGAGAGCTTTGAGATCCCTATTTCAGAAGCTGGAGGAGCCATCACAGTATCTCTGGGACGCTGGGGATGGAGGAGGGCAGAGGGAGAGGAGTCTTGGGGAGATGGTTTTCGCTGCAAGGAATTGTGCTCCCCACACTCAGCTCCAGTGTTTTGGGGCCCAGCAGGATCCCAGCTCTCCAACCCACCAGGGAGATGAGTTTCCCCCCAAGCCCCATGTCATGGCCCCGGTGTTAGGGGCAGTGTGTGCTGGTCCAGCCTGCCCCATCACTGGTACCACGGGGGCTCAGCGTGCCCGTCAGTGACACACCGGATGGGGGGTTCTGGGTAAAATGGTGTTATTTTGCCAACTTCATCGGTAACTGTTTTTGTCCATCACCTGAATTCAGTTAGAGGCATTCCAGAGGCCATGTCGCATCTGAAATCACACAGCTGAAGTCAGGTGTGCTGGATGCGGGTGTTCACCTTGGGGCGTGACAAGGAAGGGGAAGCAACAGGCAGCTGCAGTGAGGTTTCTGCCTTTCCTGGCTCTGAAGGCTGACTGCTCCCAGCACATCATCCCTCGTGCTGTGTAAGCGTCAGCCGCGTCACAGACGTACTCTGCGCGCTCCCTTCATCCCCTTATTTTGCTTTTCCCTGGTATTTTCCTCACTCGAAGCACAAATCGCTTTAGATTTCAAAGGCAGAGTGTGAATCAAGCTCGACTCAGGTTGAAATGTGAATTCCCATCGAGTTCGAGGCTGTTTCTACTCAGGATGATTATTTGATTAGCACATTGCTTTTATCCTACCTGCTCCTCCGTGCAGCGAAATGCAGAGGAGTGGATTGTGGTTGGAAAGCAGCTACCCTGTGTGAGCCGCAGAGGCAGCAGTGGGGAGGTTAATTTAATTAGCATGATACTCAGAGATGTAACTTAATCACATTAAGGACAGATCAACGTGCTCTCGTTTGAGCACTCCAGAAAACAGGAGCCGATTGTCTCCCAGCCGTCTTTAATCCAGGGAGAAGCAGACTTTTCCAAGGAGAAGGAACCAGCAAGGCTTCTCTGAGCTCCCCGGAGGAAGGTTATAAATTAGCCATAGTCCCCTGTATAGCACCGTTGTGATTGGGAGGAACCCAGGCAATCACCGGTCCCTCTCCAGTGCTGTTTCTGGTGCCACCTGAACCTCCCTGGGCTCACTCAGTGCGTGTCCAGCCACCAGCTCCTGCCCGTCAGGACCAGGACAGCATCTCCAGCAGCATCTCCACAACGGCCAAAGTGAGAAACGGGCAGGAGAACCCCGGTGCCTGCCTGAGGCCGTGCTCAAGGCTCTGCCAGGGGCTGATGGCTGAGCCCAGACCGGTCTCGTTCCAGGCTGGAGAAGCTTTACAGAGAGCGGAGCGTGCAAGGTGCTGTGTGACCCATCCGTGCTGAGCCCTGGCTCCTCAGGACGCACAGGAGCAGAGTGGTTGGGGTTGGAAGGGACCAAACCGGGCCCAGCCGCTGCCCTGGTGCTAGTGCTGTTTGTAGTTATTGGAAGCTGGGCTGCGGAGGAGCCGGGATGCTGTTTCTATGGAAATGTCCTGGAATAGCAATGGGGGAGCAGACAAACGGGAGATTCGTTAATGGCAGCTGCCGGGAGGGATTTCTCTGGAGGGGCTGCGATTTTGGTAGCACAGACTTGGGGCTCCCATGAATGGGTGTTCGTAGAACCATGGTTTGGGTTGGAAGGGGCCTCAAAGCTCCTCCAGCTCCAGCCCCTGCCACGGGCAGGGACCCCTTCCACTGGAGCAGCTTGCTCCAAGCCCCTGTGTCCAACCTGGCCTTGAGCACTGCCAGGGATGGGGCAGCCACAGCTTCTCTGGGCACCCTGTGCCAGCGCCTCAGCACCCTCCCAGGGAAGAGCTTCTGCCTGACAGCTCATCTCAGTCTCCCCTCTGCCCCCCTGCTCCCATCCATCACCTCCCGCCCGCGGGTGATGCGGGGCTCCCAGGACGCTGCCTTCGCCCCTCAGAGGCCTCTGCGGCCCCGGGGGCTCTCCCCACTCTCGGGTCCCCGCCCGGTGCCGGTGCCCGCCGGGGGCTGCGGGGCGCGGCCGCGGTCCACGCTGAGGGCCGGGCCCGGGGCGCTCCCCCCGCCCGGCGCCGATTGGCGGCGGCAGCGGCGGCTCCGCCCCGGCGGCCGCGGGTGGGCCCGGCCCGGCTCGGCCCGGCACGGAACGGAGCGGAGCGGAGCGCGGCCATGGCGGCGGCCCCGGCGGGTAGGGCTGGGGGCGGCGGGGCCGGGGCCGGCGGGGCCGGGCCCGGGCCGCCCCGCACTAACGGGCTCTCCCCTTGTCCCCGCAGAGGCCGAGACCCGGCAGCGGCTGCTGCGCACCGTCAAGAAGGAGGTAGGCGGCTGCGGGACCCCGCGGCAGCAGCCCCGTGCCCCCCGGTCCCCGTCGCGGCGCCGTGACCCGAGCCCGCGGTGATGCGGATCCGCGGTGGGACCGGCCCCGGCGCTGGGCTCGGCTGCGAGCTGGCTCCTGCTGCAGCGAATCCAGCTCCCGAAGCCTCCCCATCCCGAGCCCGGTGCCGCTGCCCGGTGCCGGGGTGCAGGAGCATCCCTGCCGCAGCGCCTCACGGCAATCGCCTCTCGCCGGCGGCAGAGCCGCTCCCGCAAGTTGTGGTTTCCGCAGGGGTAAAGGGACGGTTCCCGGCGCTGCTTCCCTTGGGAACCGGGATGGGGCGAGCCCCTCACTCACAAAGCGCCCCTGTGCGGGGCGGGAGGCAGACGCGGACATGCACACGGGTGTCTGTGTCCGGGCTGCCATGGCGCTTCCCATCGGCCTGTTCTGGTCCCTCTTCTCAGCATCTTGAACTCTCTGTTGGTTTATACCGAGCTGCCTCCAGCTCCTCTGTGTCCGTGGTGCGTGTGGCTTTAGTGCGTTAGCACGGTGAGCGATGGCAGATCGGGATGTGGGGCTGAGCCCTGCCGCTCTGCCACGTAGTCCGTGCATGGAGGTGGGCTGGGAGAGCTGCTCAGGGACCCATCCGGGCCTCCCATCGCGGGGTCTGGAACCATGAGCATCTGGGAGCTGCCATCTCCTGCCTGAGTCTGTCGGTGCAGGTCACCTCCCTGGGGCTTTGGAGGGTGCGATGCGTGACGTTCTGTTTCTGGTCTTGTGAGCATCCTGGTATCAAGCTTATGGGCTCTGGAGAGCAGAACGTCCCCGCTTGGAGGCACTGGGTGCACAAGCCCCACGGGGGGTAGGTCTGGGTGGCAGCACACGGTGCTTGACTGTTCATCCAGGCCACTTCCCACCTTTCATCCTGTGCCTGGCGCGGAGGTAAGGAATACTACACGTTGCCTTGGCAACGGCAATTAAAGCAGAGAAAGGGTCTGACATTTATTTAGCGCGGTGGATGGAGCTGACATCTCATTATCAGTGTCTGTCTGCGGAGAGAGACGCAACAGCAGCCTGGCTGCATGGCGGCAGCGATGAGGGCAGGAGGTGAGGGCTGCCCGGCCCTGTGCTGCTTGAACCAGGGACGGGAGCTTCCTCACAGAGACCCCTGCGAGCTCCCAGGGCACACGAGCATCTTCCGAGCTGGTGTCCAGAGCCAGGCTCTGCTCCCTCTGCTCTTCCTCAGGGGTTGTGGTTGAAGTGCAGCGTGTGTTGGTGGGAGGAGAGCTGAGGCTGGTGGCGTGCCTTTCTGCTGGCTTCTGCTAGAGTGAACCTCTCGGGGAGAGCTTACAACAGTCTTCCAATGCCTAAAGGGGGCCGACAGGAAACTTGGAGGGGGCTTTGGATGAGGGATGTAGGGACAGGCCAAGGGGAATGGCTTTAACCTGCCAGAAGGGAGACTGAGATGAGCTCTGAGGCAGAAGCTCTTCCCTGTGAGGGTGCTGAGGCGCTGGCACAGGGTGCCCAGAGAAGCTGTGGCTGCCCCATCCCTGGCAGTGCTCAAGGCCAGGTTGGACACAGGGGCTTGGAGCAAGCTGCTCCAGTGGAAGGGGTCCCTGCCCGTGGCAGGGGTTGGAGCTGGAGGAGCTTTAAGGTCCCTTTCAACACAAACCAGTTGGGGATTCTGTGACATGGAACAACAGGTTCTCTATTCTTTAATTAGTTAACAGTTAATTAGCAGTAATTAACTGAAGTTGGGAGCGGATGGGGCATTCTTTTGCTTGGTGCTCCCTGCTCGTTAGCCCCATTTTGCTTGTGCTCTGGTTTTCTTACCTCTCGTGGCCTGACTTCAGGTGAGGTCAGGAGCCTGTGCAGGCTCCAAGGAGCAGTAGAAAGGGCCAAGTGCAGACACCTCTTTCCTGCTTCCCCCCGGAATAGCTCTCTTCCATAAACCTGTGTATTCTCATTCATTAGCCCGTGTCTGGATTGCTTCAGCCCTGGCTTTATGTGATCCACAGGGGCAGGGGAGCTCCTCTGGGGCTAGGAACACCATGGCTCCAGCTTGGAAAGCCACCCCGTGTCTGTCATCCTCATGTGGTAACCGAGTGAGTCAACACAGTGAAGACCAGGGCTGATTAGGGAAGGCAGATAAACAAGAAAGGAAACTCACCCCAAGCGCTGCAGCGAGCGGATGGGCTTTGCTCTTTGGTTGTTGCCATGGTTAATGCATTTGTGTTTCGCAGGAGTCCTGCTCTGCAGCAGAGCTGCAGGTTGGGATGAGTTGTGCTGTCACTGCCGTCCTCCTGCTCGCTCCCCCGTATGGCCATGATAAATCAGCCTAATGCCAGATTGACTGCTTGTCAGCAGGCTGCAGGGGAAGCGGTGCGAGCAGGACTTCGGGAGGCATCCCGCTTCCCGGTGTGCGGGGTAAGGAGCACAACCAAATCTTCCCTGTGTTTCTTTAGAGCTCTTACCCGATGGAAAAACCCAGAGACCAAACCCTCTGCTTTCAAAGGGTGCTGGATGTTCAACTAAAAGCACCCTTCTTGCCACCCAGGTTCCTCCCCTTCTTTTACAAGCTTCATTCTTAGCAGAGGAGAATCCTGTGTACGTTTTTCACCTCCTCCAGGTAACTGCATACAAGAATAGGGATTACCCATGAAACACAGAGTGAAATGCAGCCTGCCTGGGGAATGAATGGTGTGAAAAGCTGAATGGGAAAGGAAAGGAAACAGTTGTCTTGCTTATTCTCCTGCAAACCCCTTAGTTTATATTTAGCTTGCCACTCTGCAAGGAGCGTTAAGCCTTGAACAGGAGACAAGGCATTCAGGGAGACGAGATCTGTGCGCCAGAGGAGCTCCTTCCTCCTCACCAGCCTCTCCTCTGCCGCCGAGATGTCATCCTCTTCGTGTGGCATCCCTGCCATTGCCATGGAAATACCTGGGTTTGCATAACTCGGGGCTTCCGAGGAGTTTGGGGCTGGGAGTTACACCTGGGTTCAGTGCAGATAGCGTTGGCCCTTGCCACATTTGCTCCCCAAATCCCAGTCAGTAACGGCTGTGCCTGTATTCTGCCTGTGCTTAGAGCATTACTGCAAGCTGTTATTGAGCGCAGGCAGCTCCCTCGCTGATGTCCCACAGCCTTCTACTTGATATATTGTTTATTGTCTCATGGCTTAAATGGTTGTCACTCTGTGGCTGTTGACTAATCCCAGCCTCGTGTATCATAGGGACAACAGGAGCCTCTCTTCCTCCCACCCTCTCGCTGCTGTGCCCCCGCCATGCGGCCCCATTGGTGGGCTGTGGCTGAGTGACGGGGAGTGATGGGTGAGAGCAATGGTTCTGCAGCTTGGGTTTGTTTTCCTCTGTGCCCCTGGTTGCCAGCTCTCAGGCTGAGGGTGCCAGGGCCAGGTTTCACCCTGCATTGGTGGAAGATGGGAAATTAATTGGATGTTGCTGGGATTTGAAAAATTAATGCTGGTAGCTTTAACTGTGCTCGAGGCCAATTGGAAGGGAAAAGGCCTTTGCGGAGCTGTCAAAGCTCTTCAGGCGGAATGAAGATGAGGGTGATAAGCTGCAGGTTTGTAATGAAAGCTGCTGTTTGCAGAGGGACCTTCTGATGCCTCTCAAGCACCCAGGACAGCCTTTTACAAACGATCCTCTATCAAAAGTAAACAGATGGCTTTAACGCAGCATTTCGTGATTGCCCGCATCGATCTCTTCTGAAAAGAGTATTACTGATCACTGGGGACCATTTTCTCTCCTTTTGAAGATAAAAGCAGTGATGTGCAGATGTGCTCTCATGCTCCAGAAGCCCTTGGCTTGATCCTTCATACCCAGAGCAGGTCTCGTGCTGCTTTTCCCCTGCCTTCATCTTCCTTCTTGGTGTTCAGGGCGACGAGGAGCTCCTTCCTCCTCAGCAGCCTCTCCTCTCTGCTGCCACAATGTCGTCCTCTTCTTGTGGCATCCTGGCCATTGCCATGGAAATACCTGGGTTTGCTTAAATCCCAGACTTCAAAGGAATTTGGGGCTGGAAATTGCACTTGGTTTCACCGCAAATAGCGTCAATCTTTGCTAATCAAACCCCAAATGATTGTGAGTGCCCGTTTAGCCCCTTGGGAAACAGCAGCTTGGTGGTGTGACGGGTGCAGAACAAACCAGGATGTGCTGTGGGAAGCAGAGAAGTGACTAAAGTTTGTCCTGAAATGCTGCAGTGTTTATTGAGCATCTCACAGCTCGTGGTGCCAACAGATGGTATGGAAATCTGCACTCGACAAGCACAACAGGAATAGAAGCAGCTATACCATGGTCTTAAATTAGTGTCGTGCGGATGGAGGGGTTGGCCAAAAGGCGATGCCCGATGGAGAAAAATCCGGTTGCAAAACAGTGTCAGCAAAGAAACCTCACTGGGAGGGTTCCCAAGGGTCTCCCCAGGGGTTCCAGTCCGTTATGGACCCTTCCATTAAAGGTCTTAGTGATTCCTTGCCCGGATATCCAGAGCTGCTCTTCCTCAGGGAGGCTCAGCGCGGTGCCCAGCGTGCGCACGCTGCGGGCTGGCCTGGAAACGCCACGTGTGCCCCATGGAGGTGCTGCGGTTGGTTTAGTCGGCGATGAGAAGTGATTGCAGAGGAGCTCTAGGGAAGCCAGGGGTCCGGTTGGTTGTGACTGATGCGTGTTCCCGTGGAAGCAAGACTCTGGACCTCAAAAGTGGCTTTAAAGCCAGGTGCCTGTGACGTGGATGGTGGTATTAGAGCTGTCTCTGTGGTGTGAAGGGCTGTGCTCCCTCTTGGTCCATCAGAATGGTTGTAAAGAGGCCTGGAAGTCTCTGTGTATAAATAGTGCAAGGCCAGATTGGATGGAGCTTGGAGCAAGCTGCTCTAGTGGAAGGTGTCCCTGCCTGTGGCAGGGGTTGGAGCTGGGTGAGCTTTCAGGTCCCTTCCAACCCAAACCCCGCTGTGGTTCTCTGGTAAGTGGCAGAGCTTGGCTCCAACTTGCAATGGTGCTGGGAAAGTCTGGCACCTGGTTTTGGAATATCAGGGGGTTGTTGCTGGGAAGATGAGGAGCTGTATCTTGCCGCATTGAGATTGATAATGTGAATTCTATAAACAAGTCTGCTAAAGAAGGATGCTACAGCAACACGACAGGCAGCAGGCAGGCGTTTCATTTTCAAATGAGAAGATAAAGCTGGCTGGGGAGGGGAATTCTGCTTGAGATGGAAAAGGGGCTTTTTGTGGTCCTGAGTGGCAGGCTGAGAGAGCTGGGCCGGGTCAGCCTGCAGAAGAGAAGGCTCCTTAAGGGGAGACCTTAGAGCAGCTCCAGTGCCTAAAGGGGCTGCAGGAAACCTGGAGAGGGGCTTGGGACAAGGGCATTAGGGTTGGAAGGGAGCTCCTCTCCTTAGGAAGGAGGAATGCTGGCTTAAAGAAGGCTGGTTTAAAGAAGTTGGGCTAAAGAACTCTTCCAGGCATGGAGCTAAAAGGTGGGAGGTGGGTACAGCTGGAAATCACAGGATCACACACACTGGTTTGGTCTTCTCAGTCTCCCCTCGGGCAGGTTCAAGCCATTCCCCTTGTCCTGTCCCTACAGGCCCTTGTCCAAAGCCCCTCTCCAGCTTTCTTGTCAGCCCCCTTTGGTGGGAGATGCTGTGCTTCAATACAAACACCTTAATAAGCAGGGAAAGGCTTTGCAAGAAGCAGGGCAGCAAAACTCTATCTGCAAGCATCACTGGAGTCTGGAATGCAGGGCGCATGGTGACTTGCCTGGCAAAATCCAGCCAGGTGAAACAGCGCGGGGAGTCAATATTGCCTTAGAGTAATTAAATGCAGGGTTATTGCTTTGCTCCTGATCCCTGTTATTGTAACTGATGCAATATTTGGCTTGCTCCCCCAGGGTAAATGACAGCAGGGACTGGGTACAGTTGTGAAGCTGTTGCAGGAATATTGGACTTCCAGACGCAGGGTAACCCTGGGGGTTTTGTAGCAGGGATCTACACCTGCATCCCTCATGGGGCCTGGGGGCTGTTGGATAGGGAAGGGTTTGGGTTTGAAGGGAAAAAAGGCAGTTAGTCAAATAAAGCTTCAATAGCAATGTTTTGGCTGTGATGGAGCTGGTGAGGCCAGGAGGACCCAAAGGAAAAGCTGAGACCACTGGGGTCAGGAGCATCGCTGAAGGTAGGGTGCTGCAAGCTCCAATCTCTGCTCTGAAGAGGGTGCATCAGGATTGCGGATGCTCCTGATGAGCACCATACTCTGAGGACTCTTCTCGATGCCTGTCACTCCCGGATCCAGCTTTGGAGATGGAGAAAGAAGGAAAACAAATGGTTTTCCTTGTAATTCAGGCATGCACATGAAGCAAAGAAGGACGGGCTCACTCGTTCACGAGCCAGAGGCTCGGAGGGTGATGGTGAGAGCAGTCTGTCTTCTGCTGGGGCTTTGGAACTGCAGTTAGTGCTGCTGAGTTTGTGTGGACACCTTGTTCCTGTCTCCCAGAGGAGGGGTGGCTTATCCTGTGCTCACAGCTGGAGCCAGGAGTGCTTTGGTTGTTGTGGAATACTTGCTGGTATTCCTCTGGAGTTTACCTACAGCTAAATTATTAGTTGCTGGTTTAATTCCCTTCCTAATAAAAGAAGAGCAAACATCTCATTTTCCTTAGGCTGGCTCTAGATAAAGAGTGGGCAGCCTCATTTGTTGAGATTGTTCTGGCTAGAATATGAGAATTAGCATTAAAATGCTGGAATGCAACATATTTAGAGGCTGTTCAAGTCTTCTCTATGGAGCGAGCCAAACGTGGGTTCAGTGGAGCTCTCCATTCCTACACTGCTACAAACCTGCTTAGGGTGGGAGAGTCCTTTGGGACCTGCAGACAACAGCATAGGAGTCTGCCAGGAGTTTTGGGGTTCTCTGGGTTGGAGCTGTCCTGCAGATTCCAGCATTGGAACAGGCTGCCCAGGGCAGTGCTGGTGTTGCCATCCCTGCAAGGGTTCACACACCATGGAGATGAGGCCTTAGTGCCATGGGTTAGTGGTGGCCTTGGCAGTGCTGGGCAATGGTTGGACTGGGTGAGCTTAAAGGGCTTTTCCAACCTAGGTGATTCTGTGATTCCATGGCAGTGCCCTTGTGGCAGTGCCCTTTCCACTCCTGTTTCTTTAGGTCTGTTTGATCTATTGTGTTTAGTGTGATAACCTCAGTCAATACAGCGGGCTTTGCTTTGGGTTTTAATTGCAGTGAGTGTTTTTCCACTACACTGTGTCTCTTGGAAGGTTTTTCTCACTGCCTTGAGAGCACAGGTTGGCTGTGCTGGCTTGGCACCAAGTGCTCTATGGGCACTCCCTCACCAGCTGGTCCTTGGTCCTGCGGTAGCTGTGGCCACGGGTGTTGCATTGGAACAGTGAGATGATGCTTGTGCCAAAGGTGGCTGGCAAACATTACACTGCTTAAATTGGAATATGTTAAACATTCAAACGAGAATATTCAAACCAGAGTTAAAAGCTGTGAAGCCTGAATGAGGATTGCAGTTACCCCCTTCTGTGGTGCTCAGCCCATGGCAGCGGTACAAGGGACCAAACTGCATTGGGCATAATGAAACCAAGGGCTTGCTTCCCTCACCTCACCTTGCTGAAGGTGTCCTGGTAAGGGGCAGCTTCAGTTGTTGGCCACTTGCCACACTAAAGCACTGAGGGACCTTTATGGAAGCGGAGCCAGGAGCATTCCTGCAGCTGCAGCCGCTGCTGCAAGCACGAAGTTGGGATGGAGGAGCTGCAGGAGCTGCGTGGTGCTGTGCCGAGGGGAATACCCCAGTGCTCTGAGCCACCTGAGCTCCACATCCCAGTGGAGTGCTGCGAGTTCCTGACTCGCTGTCAGCCCATCCGAGCTGCGGGATGCAGGAGAAGTCACGGCGCCAGTCCTGCTCCCCCAGGCACCCGGCGCATCCCAGCTGTGCCGCCCTGGGGGCTGCCCTGATGCCTTTGACATGCAGGGAGACGCTTTTGGCTTTAGACAGGTCTTTTTTCCTTAATCCATATTCGCAAAAGGGTTTCCTTTCTGGAGCCGTCAGCTGTGCATAACTGACCTTGATTAGATCTTGCAGAGGAGTCCAATTCCCCAAATGATGCTCTTAAATGCAAGGTTTGCTTGGCCAAGGCTGGCCCGCCTGTTCTTTTTTCCTCCTCCTTGTGCCTTCAGAAGGAACATCCTGATAAGCAGAGCCGCTCTTCCACCCACATCTCTGCACTGTGAACCCTGTCCCCTGTAATTTCTGAAATCAGACAGTGAGAAGCAGGATGTTGCAGATGAGATCCAGGCACGCCAGCAGCTCTGTATTTAATAGGAAAGGCAGTTGGGAAGTGAATGTGTTGGGCAGATTTGGGGCCGTTCATGGGGCCACCAGTTTAGAGCTGCCTCTTCCATTAACAGCACCAGCACTTTGTGAGCAAGGCGTGGGGACAGCCTCTTGGAGCTGCTCTGCCCTCATCACAGGACTGTGATTCCCCCCCATCATCCATTAAGGGTGTTTCATGTGGGATCCCTCCCTGAGAGCCAAGCACCCTGAGCAGAATTCCCCCACCTGTGGGCGATGGGAGAAGCCGTTTGCGTTGGGAGCAGTGGTCCTGGGCTCCTCAGGCTCCTCTGAGCAGCAGCCAGGCGGTCCTGGGAGCATCCCCCGAGGCCAGCAGCTCTGCAGCTGATCCCAGCTCCCATCTCGTGTCTGCAGAAGTTGCACTCCCAGTTTATGTGGGTTCCTATTTATGTTCTTCCCCGATTGTGCCCCTTTGACTCGTTGCACTGAAGTGGGTGCCCATAACGTGGTGTGAGCAGTGGAGGCTCGGGCGGGGGGGCAGCACCGATGGCACTGCTGTGCGCGCAGCGTTCCTGGTCACGTTGGGTGCCAGGAGATCACTGGCTTTGGCACTGATGGGTGGTTACGGTCATTCAGGACAGCTGTTATGTGGCATTAGTCAGATCCATGTAAAATGAAGGAATATAACCATGCTGTGAAAGTGTGGAGACTTGGTTACCTTTGGTAAGGGATCTCTTACCTAAAGGATGCTGGATTCCCACACTTAGTTCTCTGCTCATCGTTTTCTTACTTGGAAGTTCCTCAAAACCAAAACCCTTTTTTGTTATACCTGACTTTTTGAAACAGCCACAAGCAAAGATGCTTTGGTTCTCCATGAGACCACACGAGCTCTTAGAGGCTGATAGGAAAGGCAGAGAGCAGAGGAGGCTTCCTTCAGGCACAGAACAAGCGGAGCATCTCCAGCACAGGCCTCCTGGCTCTGGTCTGTGGCAGTAGCTCAGTGTTTTCTCTAACGGGGCCTCTGTTCAACAGGTCAAACAGATCATGGAGGAGGCGGTGACGAGGAAGTTTGTGCATGAGGACAGCAGCCACATCATCTCCTTCTGTGGTGAGTGCCTGGTGGGGGGGCGTTGGCACGGGCTGGGGCTGGAGCCGCGCTGGGATCCAGGGCTGTGGTACCAGTGAGTCCTGGGGCACGGTGCAGGGCTGGGAGGTGGCTGGTGCTGGAGGGGGATGAGTTGTTGTGGCAGTGGTCTGAGTCGCTGAGGCCTTCGCTTTGTGCTGTTCTGTGTCACGGGAGGCGGGATGTTGGCAGCGTGCGCTGAAGGAACACCACAAATAATGCTTTAAAGTCCCTCGAGAAGCAATTCAAGAGAAATCTGAACATTTCCTTGCTGTGACAGAGGAGGAGTTCATGGGAAGGAGCCTCCGGTCTGCCCCAGTGCGGGAGCAGGGAGGCTGGAGGGATTTCAAGGGGAGCTGATAGGAGATGTGCTCAATACGGTGCTGCTGTCAGGCTTGCTCCCCAGCAGCTGTGCTTCACACTCCACCTGCTTGCTTCATCTCTGTTGCTTCTTCGGGGGTGACAGCTTTGTGAGTGTGGAAGTGTTTCAGGATGGATCCATCAAAACCTTGGCACAGGCTTTCCTAAAAGCCTCCCGAGGAGCTGCTGCCTGCTGCCTGTGGTGCGTGTCTGGTGTGCGCTGCGCTCGCTGCTCACAGTTAATGCCCAGGTAAAGAGGCTTCTTGAGCAGCTTCAGCCACCCAGCCTGCTGGGTCTACCTTGGGGAGGGGTGATGATGTTAAACCTGGGCAGAAGCCAGTGGGTCTGATGCCTGAAGTGCTTACCCTGCTGCCCCTTGGATGAGTGATGAGGCTGTGGCCCTGGGCATGGGACAGGCTCTTTGTGCCCCTTAGCAGCTGTCTGAGAGGTGGATGCTGGTTTTGGGAGACGCAAATGACCAGTATAGAAGAAGAGTAGGTCCCTTGCTGTCCTCTGGCTCGGACATAGCCTCGTTCAATAGTGCCTTTGGTCTGGGACCTGTTTGTAACCCCTTCCATGCAATGCCCTGTCCTGCCCTGCCAGGTGCTGCTCTGGGGTGCTGTGGCTGTGGGAGCTGTCGCTGCTGCTGCTCACTGACAGCACTGGGCAGATGCTGGGGGCAGTTTGCTGAAGGGCCAAGTGTTTTACCCGCTTGTGCTTCCCTGCTTGCATGTGTGAGGTCAAGTGGCATCCCATTCCCATTGGAATTGCCCTCTTTGGGATGCTCCCTGACTTTTGCAAGGCAAAGATCCTATAGGGGACCGCTGATGGGAGCAGTTAGAGGCCCTGTAGCTCTGCTGGAGGAAGCTGTGGTCCCCCTGCCTGCTCCCCAGTTTTCCAGCTGTGGCTCCCATGTTATCTGCCTGGTGCCAGTGCTCCCTGCTCCCAGTAGTGTCTATGGCAGCACAGGGCAATGGCTGAGCATGCAGGCAGCAGTGCTGGTGCTGCAGAGCTCCGCCATGGAGCGCAGGTGATGCTGTGTCCTCCCTTGGCCTGAGCCTTCTGACCAGCCACGGCCTTCCTGCTCCTCCTGCTCCTGCAGGTCTGTAGGGAATCCCTGGGGCAGATTCCGGGCACTTCCTTCCTGCTGCTGGGAAACCCTCCCTGCTTTCCAAAGAGAAGCAGTGTTAAGGGGGGATGGATGCTGGCTGTCCTGGAGGCACCACTCCAGGTTTCTTGAAAGGGCAAAGCCTTGTCCTGAGGCTGAAGCTGCTGGGGAGCCTCTGCTCCAGCACCAGGAGCCTGGCTGGCAGGTGAGGGGATGGCAGCCTGTGCCCCTCCGCAGCCTGGTGATCCTGCTGTGCCCGTGGCTCTCAGCAGAGCCGTTGCAGGCAGCTCCATGCCAGCACACCCAGCCCGGGGTCGTGGGGCTGCTGCTGGGCAGCGTGTGCAGGGGAACCAGAGCTCTGCGATGCACGGGCAGCTTCTAATGCGGAGGCTGGGAGGTGAATGACGGGAGTGATGACAACTGCCTCTTGGAGCCGGTGCTCACCACCGAGGAAGGCGGTAGCATCCACAGACACAGGCGCAGAACAGCAAGAGAAGGGAGCTGTGAGGTCCCCTTCCCTGCTTTGGAGAGCAGAGATGCTGCCGCCTTCCTTTCCTCCTCACGCAAACGACGTGTCCGAGGCCCGCGTGCCTCTGCGTGCAGACCGGCATCGAAGGCGCAGAGCAGGCAGCAAGGTGTGACTCACTTTCTGCCTTGCTGTGCGGCACGGGGCTTCGCAGCCTGCCGTTATTTATAGGCTCCTGCGGCACGGGGCTGAGGCAGCCAGGCACGAGGGGCTCCGTGGCTCCTCCTGGGTTCCTCATGATGCTGCTGCGCTGTCGGTGGCTTCTGGTGTCTGCGCCTTGCGCTGCCGCTCTCTCCGGTGAGGGGTCTGTGCACCCTCCTCATGTCGCAGCTCTCCAGGACGTAAAGAACCTCCCTCCCCGCCAAGCAGAGCTCTGCCTTCCTCGCAGAGCCCTCCTCCTCCTCCTCCGTGCAGCCAGCGAGCTGCAAAGCCCTTCGATGAGGGCAGTGGTGTGGCAGGAAAGGGCAGCTGCCCGCAGCAGCCCCGCTCTGCCCCAGGGGAAGGGTTTGAAGCAGACAAACGCGAGCTGGCATCTGTCACGTTCCGGCTGCCCTGGGATGCTGACGAGGAGCCGGCGGCGCGGTTGGGGGCCTGTGTGAGCCGAGGGCTCTGTTGTCCGTATCAGCGCTGCGCCTGCCTTATTGCTCAGTCTGAGTGGTTTGAATCGTGCCAGGGAGCTCGCAGAAATACCTTCAGTCTGTGGCCAGGAGTTTGGTGCTGAAGCCTCTAAGCCCTTGGGAAAGCACAGCAGACCTTTTCCTAAGGACACGGCACGTTTGCATGTTGTTTGAGCACAGGAACGGAGTCCAGGGGAGGTTCAGGCCCTGGCGTTGAGCAGAGGTGCTGATGACCGCTGTGTCTTGCTGGAGCGAGCTGGGAGGCCTTTTGGCCATCAGGATGTGTCTCGCAGCGCCTCAGACGCTGCCTGCTCCGCGGTGAACTCAGGCATGGCACTAAGCAAGGCAGAGATAATGAGAGCATCTCGCTGCCCTGGGAGCTGATGTTGATGGGTCTGCACGAAATGGTTCTTTTTAACGTCTCCATAGAGCTGCTCAGCTGCGGGGAAAAAGCCTTTCCAGGCGAGAGGTGGATCAGCATCTGCTGGGCTGCTGCAGGGGGGGCTCAGCAGGGCTGGCTCTGGTCCTGGGTGAGGAGGGTGCTGGTGCGGCAAAGAGCATGTCAGACCCAGATCAATACCCTGCAGAGCTGTGGGTCTGTGTAGTTTTCCAGGGCTCTGATCAGCCTGCTTGGTAAGTCAGTGTTTGACACCAGGCATCCATCCTGAGCATCCCAGGGGACTCCAGCAAACAGACTGTGGTGGAGCCTTGACGTGTGCGCATCTTTCTGTGGAGTCATCACCATCACCCATCACCGGCAGAGCCAGATCCTGGGCTCCTGCTCTCCATGGAGCCGGGCAGGGAGCTGAGCACTCGCTGTGGTTTGTGCCTGCTGCACTCACCAAACCACAGCCCCTGTGCAAGGCTTCGCCTTAGTGATGGAGGCTGTGATGAGCACAGCAGAGAGAGGGACTCGTGTGCTGAGTGAGCAGAGGGACCTCAAGTCTGGTGCCCCTCACGATGACCCTGTGGAAGTGGCTCCAGCCACGCTGCTCTGCCAGGACCACCACAGGGATGGTGCTGGCACAGAGCTGGCAGCAGGATGCCACCTCCGGGCGTGCTGGGGTTCTCCAGCGTTAGCATCGATCTGTTTGCAGTGAGGGTGTCTTGTTTGGGACCAAAGGCTGGGAGCACAGCGCTGCGAGTCCCTTCTCTGCTCTGCTTTCATGAATGGGCAAAGTGCTCTGAGAAGCCCTGAGCCTGCTCAGTGCTGGCGGTGGCATGGAAGTACCACCTGTGTGGTCTGAGAGCTGCACATCCCTGGGTCATCACCAGCCCTGTAAGGTGATGAAATGTTGGTTGGTCAGGTAAGAGAAGGAGCCAAGCCAGCCCTACCGACTGGTCCCTCAGGTGGTTTCATGGAGACCCTGGATCTACTTCAGCAGGCACAAGTGAGCCGTCCTTTGCAATGCTTGCATCTTGGCACATCCACAGCTCCACAGTTCACGTGTGCTCCCATTAAGGCTTCGCCAACCTCCGTTTTTCTTCTGTTTTGCACCGCTAAAGCGGTGCCTCTGTTCAGCAGAACCGATGCCCCTGCAGGCAGAGAAGCCGCGCTGCTGTCTGCAGCTTGCGTCCGAAGGCATCTGGGTTCCCTCATCTGCTTGTGCAGGAGCGGAGCACGGCACCGGTGTCCTCTTGGGAAGCGTTTCTGCTGTGGAGTAAGGGCCCGGCGGCAGCAGGGGAGCAGCGCTCGTGATGGGAGCTCCAGCTCCTGCTGCGCCTGCGGTAACGTCCTTGCTCTGTTGCAGCGGCGGTGGAGGCCTGCGTCTTGTTTGGCTTGAAGCGGCGGGCAGCAGGGTTCCTGCGCAGCAACAAGATAGCAGCTCTCTTCATGAAGGTGGGAAAGAGCTTTCCCCTGGCAGAGGAGCTCTGCAGGAAGGTGCAGGACCTGGAGCAGCTCATCGAGAACGCGTAAGGCACCAGCACTGATGTTAGCCCTCGGGTCGCTGCGGTTTGGGCGCTGCTGTGGATGGCGGTGTCCAGCTTGAGCCTCTGCAGGGGGAATTGTTCCTTCGGTGGAGCAGGGTCCTGACCTGGGATTTGATACCCTGACTGAGCTGGCTGATCTTTTAGGACGCTGTGAGCTGCAGTTGTAGTTTAAGCTGGGATGGACAAGTTCTTACTTCCTCGTGCTCAGGGACAGCTCATCCCGTTTGCTCCTGCGCTGTCACAGCTGATGGACCAGAGCACTAAGCCAGCTGGAACCAAATTTGGCCTGCCTCAGTGTGCAGGGCTTGAACCTGCAGTAATTCAGCTTCTGCTTGGGAATTGCTTACTCATCCTTGGACAGGAACCAGGGAGATGGATGGAGCAGCTACCTGGGGGGCAGGAAGCTTTATGCTTGTAAAGTGCTGTCCTCAGGCACCAGTGGAAAAGGAGGGTGGGCTTGGAGGACCCTGCTGAGGCAGAGGCTTGTTTGAAGGTGCCTGCACAGTGGGAAACTGATTCAGTGAAGTCAGCATTCGGATACAGATGTGGGTCTTTGGGAGCACGGGGTGGAACAGAGCCCTATTCCCCTCAGGCTCCCTAAGCACTGCAGTCACCACTGAGCCCCTGTCCCTCAGGATGCCAGGAGTGCCCTGGGCTCCTGCAGTGCTCGATGATGTTGTTGTCTTTCCCCTTGTACCCCCAAAGACGAAACCAGGTCCAGGGCATCCCGGAGAACGTGCGCAAGATGCCGAAGCTGCCCAACCTGTCTCCTCAAGCCATCAAGCACCTCTGGATCCGCACGGCCCTCTTTGAAAAGGTCCTGGATAAAATCGTCCATTACTTGGTAGAAAACAGCAGGTGAGGGCTGGCACGGGACAGCCAATGGCTCATCCGAACTCACTACCAGCATCTGCCCCTCTGATGGTGCTCGAGGTGCTGCTGGCTGAGCTGTGCCCGAGTGGGCCAGAGAATGGGCCAGACCGGTTGCTGCTCTGTGCCCACCACAGGGACTCTGATACCTGCTGCTGGTGGCCACCGTACGCTCCCTCAGTTAAAGACAGGCCACACTTGCTCTGCTTATGGCTGGGTTGTCAGGGACTGCCATGTCCTTGTCTTCTGGAAGCTGCTTGCTGGGGAGCTGTCATCTCCAGTGCTGGGGGTGTTCTCTTAGGAGATGGTGGCCCTTGCGATGTGCTGCTGTTCACCAGGAGTTTCACAGCCAGCAGAAACCGCCCCTTAAGGGCTTCTTGCCCTCTCACCGTCGAGGAACGATACAGAAAGAGAAGGGCATCACCGTGATTTAAAAGCATTCTGTAGTCCCAGGGGGTTGAAATGCTACAGATCCTGCTTTTCTTCCTTCTAGTAAGTACTATGAGAAAGAAGCTCTCCTGATGGATCCTGTGGATGGACCAATTCTCGCCTCTTTACTGGGTAACACTTTCCTCTTTACCCTACTTTGGCGGCTTGCTTTCCAAACCCGTGTTCCCAGTCCTGGTGCGCTGCCCCGCCGGGCCACGCACAGGGATGGAGAGTGGCGAGGCTGAGCTTGCCCCAGGCGCGGTGATGCTGCTGGGCAGGAGGCAGGGCCGAGGCTGGGGGCTGAGGAGCAGTGCGGTGCCGCAGTGCACGGGTCCATCGGGCTGGGGGGGCACTGCCCGCTGCCAGGGCTGCGCAGCCCCTCCGGGTTCCCTGCTCTGTGGTGCCCCCGGGCTCTGCAGCTCCGGGAGGTGACAGGCACGGGGGCAGCCCTGACGGCTCCTTGTCGGTGATCTCTCTGCGCAGTGGGGCCCTGCGCGCTGGAGTACACCAAGATGAAGACCGCCGACCACTTCTGGACAGACCCCTCTGCGGATGAGCTGGTGCAGAGGCACCGCATCCACAGCTCCCACTGCCGCCAGGACTCGCCCACCAAGCGCCCGGCGCTCTGCGTGAGTGTGGCAGGGCAGCTCCTCGGCTGTTCCAGCCCGGAGTGCTGGGAGCAGGGGCTGTGGAGACTGTTGGGATCAACACGGTGCTGCATGCGGGGCGGGGGGGGGCTGCCCTTTGAGAGCATCGTGTGTGAGCAGCTCAAGTCTGCTCTGTTTATTGCACACAAAAGCCACTCCTGGGGTTTCTCTAAGTACAGAACTGAGCTTGGCCAGAGCCAGGAAACCTTTTAGAGGACACAAGGGAAAAGTAAAGGGTGAAGGTTGGCCTGTAAGGTCTTTTCCAGCTCTGTAATTCTGTGGTTTCCAGCAGCGACTTTGTAAGCGAGGAGGGAATGAGCTTCAAGAGAGCTTTGTGAAAGGAAGAGGTGTCTGTGCTCAGCTCACATTTGTAGGTGGATCTCTTTCCAGATCCAGAAGAGGCATTCGAGCGGCAGCATGGATGATCGGCCGTCACTGTCTGCCAGGGACTACGTGGAGTCGCTGCACCAGAATTCCCGAGCCACCCTCCTCTATGGCAAGAACAACGTCCTGGTGCAGCCAGTGAGTACCTGCGGCGGCAGCTGCCCTGTAAAATGCCCTGCTCCCCGCCTGTCCCAAGGAGACTTGATGGAGGAAAGCACAGGCTCATTGTTGCCCTGCGAAGGCAGTGGCTGGACTGGGTTTGTTGGGCTCCTCCCAAGCGGAGCGGCAGAGCTCTGCTCCTGTCTGAGTGCAGACAGGCTCCCTGCCTGCTTATTGCAGTCAAGTGAGGTGCAAATGGCTTGTGTGGAGCTGCTGTATCACAGTATCACAGTATGCTAGGGATTGGAAGGGACCTCAAAAGATCACCTAGTCCAATCCCCCTGCTGGAGCAGGAACACCTAGATAATGTTACACAGGAATGTGTCCAGGCGGGTTTTGAATGTCTCCAGGGAAGGAGACTCCACAACCTCCCTGGGCAGCCTGTTCCAGTGTTCCGTCACCCTCACTGAGAAGAAGTTTCTTCTCAAGTTTAAGTGGAACCTCTTGTGTTCCAGTTTGCACCCATTACCCCTTGTCCTATCATTGTTTGCCACTGAGTAGAGCCTGGCTCCACCCTCGTGACACTCCCCCTTTATATATTTATAGACACTCATAAGGTCACCCCTCAGTCTCCTCTTCTCCAAACTATAGAGACCCAGCTCCCTCAGTCTTTCCTCATAAGGGAGATGCTCCACTCCCTTAATCATCTTGGTTGCCCTGCGCTGGACTCTCTCCAGCAGCTCCCTGTCCTTCTTGAACTGAGGGGCCCAGAACTGGACACAATATTCCAGATGGGGTCTCACCAGGGCAGAGTAGAGGGGAAGGAGGACCTCTCTCGACCGACTAACCACCCCCCTTCTAATACACCCCAGGATGCCATTGGCCTTCTTGGCCACAAGGGCACAGTGTTGGCTCATGGTCATCCTGTCGTCCACTAGGACCCCCAGGTCCCTCTCCCCTACACTGCTCTCTAACAGGTCGTTTCCCAACCTATACTGGAACCTGCTGTGCCTCGGGCTCCTCTCCAGCCTCCTCAGGAGGTGTCCTGGGGGCTCTGCTGAAGGCTCTGCAGGGCCACGCTGGGTTTCTCTCTTGGAAACCTGAATTGCTCAGAGGCTCAGGCTCTGGCACCCGGAGCTGGGTGATGCTTCGTGCTCCTGGCGTCTTCCAGCCCGCTCTCACCAGCTGCTTCTCTCCTTGTGTTCCTCAAGCGAGATGACATGGAGGCGATCCCGGGGTATCTGTCCCTTCACCAGGCTGCAGACATCATGGCACTGAAGTGGACTCCCAACCAGCTGATGAACGGCTCCGTGGGGGATCTGGACTACGAGAAGAGGTGACTGGTTCCCAGTGCGTGGGGCAGAGGAGAGGGAAATGACCCCCGGTTCAGGGCTTGGATCTGGTGTCCAAGCCCATCACTGAGTGTTCCCCATGGCTGCAGAGCAAAACAGTCATCCTGGAGTCTGTAACAGGGGAAGGGATGGGGAAGGGGGCCTGAGGTGGGAGAGATGAGCTGCAGGAGATGGGGTGAGCTGCAGGAGATGGGGTGAGCTGCAGGAGATGGGGTGAGCTGCGGGAGATGGGGTGAGCTGCAGGAGATGGGGTGAGCTGCAGGAGGTGGGGTGAGCTGCAGGAGATGGGGTGAGCTGCGGGAAATGGGGTGAGCTGCGGGAGATGGGGTGAGCTGCGGGAGATGGGGTGAGCTGCAGGAGGTGGGGTGAGCTGCAGGTGGTGGGGTGAGCTGCGGGAGGTGGGGTGAGCTGCAGGAGATGGGGTGAGCTGCAGGAGATGGGGTGAGCTGCGGGAGATGGGGTGAGCTGCGGGAGATGGGGTGAGCTGCGGGAGATGGGGTGAGCTGCGGGAGATGGGGTGAGCTGCAGGAGGTGGGGTGAGCTGCGGGAGATGGGGTGAGCTGCGGGAGATGGGGTGAGCTGCGGGAGATGGGGTGAGCTGCGGGAGATGGGGTGAGCTGCAGGAGGTGGGGTGAGCTGCGGGAGATGGGGTGAGCTGCAGGAGATGGGGTGAGCTGCAGGAGATGGGGTGAGCTGCAGGAGGTGGGGTGAGCTGCGGGAGATGGGGTGAGCTGCAGGAGATGGGGTGAGCTGCAGGAGGTGAGCTGAGCTGCTGTGCTAGTGTTCTGGAGGGACGTTGTCACTTAGGTTGGCTTCGTGGCAGCCGCTCTGCTGCTGGGACCTCATCCTTTCTGTGGCTTCCCCAGGGTAGCTGGAGGCAGGATGTGGAGCTGATGTGAAGGGAGGCAGAGCCTCTTGCACCCCTGAGGCTCACAACTTCCTCTCTCTCTGTTCCAGTGTGTACTGGGACTATGCCATGACTATTCGCCTGGAGGAGATCGTGTACTTGCACTGCCACCAGCAAGGTAAGGCTGGAGCCAGGGTGCTGGAGGGTGCTGGCACCCTGCACTTGCTGTTATCTCTGGGGAGTGCGTGCATGGGGATGCTTCAGCTGAGCTCCAGCGCAGGTGTCCGGAGGTCTGGGTGGCCACCACTATGTCAGTGTTGTAGGGGACCCTTTAAACCAGCTCCTTAGCTGGGAGGTGCTCCACGCAGAGCAATGCCCCATCAAGGGTGGGATCCAGGCAAGCCTTCTCCAGGCCTCCAGACTTACAATGGACTTGGAGATGAAGCCAGACAAGGAAGAGTCTTCCTTCCCCCTACCAGAAGGACAATTCCCTCAACCTGCTTGCCTGCCCCCGCCTGTTTGACCGGGGATGTGTCCCTCATTCATGCCTCTCTTCTCTCTGCTGTCACTGTTAATAGTAGACAGCGGTGGAACGGTTGTCTTGGTGAGCCAGGATGGGATTCAGAGGCCTCCGCTGCGCTTTCCCAGAGGAGGGCACTTGCTGCAGTTCCTGTCCTGCCTGGAGAACGGGCTCCTGCCCCACGGGCAGCTGGATCCACCCCTCTGGTCACAGCGGGGAAAGGTAGGCACCCGAAACCAGGCTTGTTCCGAGCCCAGGGCACTGCGGGCTCCTGCCGGGGTTCCCTTGTGGAGTGTCTGGGAGCAGAGACGACGGGGAGGACCCTCGGCCCAACACTGGTGGCTTCTGGTTTGAAACACCCCCAAAGCTAAGGAAGATGGGATGGGATGGAATGTGTCAGTTTGGTTGAGCTCATGGCCGTGACCAACTAAACAGACCCTCCAGGGCAAATCAGAAGGGAGGTGGTGCTGGCCATGGGGTATCGTAGCTTTGGTTCTCACGGAGCTGGCCGTGCTGCGTGGTTATACACACTGTGTGCCCAATCCAGGGCTGCTTCAGCACGGGGAAGGTGCAGACCTCATCCAGGACAGGAGTGTGGCAAGCGAGGCACTGAGCACGCTGACCCATGGGGTGGCTTGTGAAGATCAGGGTTTGTTCCCCTAGGGAAAGGTGTTTCCCAAGCTGAGGAAGCGAAGCCCACAGGGCTCCTCCGAGTCTGCCTCCGACAAGGAAGACGATGAAGCCACGGATTATGTTTTCAGGATCATCTACCCAGGGACACAGGCTGAATTCGGTGAGTGCAGGGGCAGTGTTCTGGGTGGGTTATCATGGGGTGCATGAGCAGGCAGGGTGCAGCACTGACGGGCACATGGCGCATCGCGCCAGGAGGTGGCTCCAGGGCAATGGGCTTTGCCTGTAGCAGTGCTGCCTTTAATCATGTATGGGCTGGGGTTTATTTGTTTTAACCTTTCCTTTGCTGGGGAGTCCTTCACTGCAGCTGCACAAGAGGCCACAAGAAGGAAATCCTTGCACATCATGTCAGTAGGAAGGGGCACTCTGGTCACGCTCCTTGGGGGTCACTGTTCACCATCACAAGCCTCCAGGGCTGATTCATCTCTTGCTATCCCTAGGCCAGGTCAGCAAGTGCTGCATTAGATCCATCTGTTCCTTCTGCAGTGTAAAGGAAGGTCGACAGCACCTTGTCTGGGTGCTGCCAGGCTTGAGCCGTGTCTCTTCACTCCCTGGCTCACAGGGCAAAGGAGAGGATGCTGCTGGATTCACCAAACCAAATGCCTGGTTGGGAATGATGTGAGCAATGTGCTCGCTGAAATGACTGTGCATTTGTCCTCACTCTTCTGTGGGATGCCAGTTTCTGACTTCTGGGAGCATCGTGGGTGACTTTGTAAGGGGGAAACCAAGAGTGAGATAGAACTTGTGGAGGGGTTTTTAAAAGCTACAAAATTGGATCAGGAACTTGTTCCTGTAATTTTGAGGCTGGAAGGGAGCAATCGCATCTCCTGTGACTCCTCCATAACGTCAGTTAAGGTTATACTTAGTTCTCCCTGCCTTTAGCTGACTAACACAATTCAGTGAGTCAGATCAAGATCTGATTGAGGCTAAAACACCAGATGGAGATGCTCCTTTCTGCAGCTGCCTTTTGATCTACCCCTTAATTCCATGCTGGGGGCCAAGGCTTCAGTGAAATGAATTGCTGCAATCTCCTCAGCTGGCATCACCCAAGCCTGCGAGGTTCCTGTGGACCTTCCCGGAGGGGGTGGACCTGCATCAGTTCTCTCTTCTCGGTGGATTCTGCCTTTATCCCCTTTGATTTGTGCCTTTGTCCTCTCTCTGTGTCTCTAGTTCCCATTAATGGCCATTTTCAGCCGTTCCTCGCCTCTGTGATCTCCATCAGTGCAATGAGAGGGAGGAGCACAAGGACTGCAGCTGCGAGCAGGATGGTGGTGACCCCTAAGTGGTTTCTGAGGCTCCCCATCACGTCCCGACCTCCCTTTGGCCCTCTGGGGACCGCTCGGTGTCAGTGTGATGCGGCTGTTGTTGGTGTCCGGTGCTGCTGCTCGCCTGTGTTGTCACTTGGCAGTTCCTGACTGTCACCAACCCCTCAGCACCGGCTCAGAGGGGAAGGGAAGAGGCTTTCCCGGGGATATTTCAACGTCTTTCTTGCCAGGATCAGTTATTCAGCACCTCAAACAGGGAGCTGGTGAGAGCCAGGGTGAGGGGGGAACCTGCTCCCGTGTGGAAGATGGAATTTCTGCCATGATTTCATTTCCAAGGAGGAGTCAGACGGATTATTCTTCATTCTTCTTCCTCCATCCCACAGTTCACCTTCTCCTAGGGAGGCCCAAGAGTGAAGGGCAGGAGCTATTCCAGGCAGGACAGCAGCCAAGCTGCTCAGCATGACCCACGTGAGGCAGTACCTGAGCTGCGTCCAGGGCCCCTGAAATAGCACTTCTGAGTTTCAGCAGGGATTTAGCAAGTGACAACAGGAAGAGCTCCTTGCTCCTGCTGTCCCACTCAGCCTCGTCATCAAATCTTTCTCTTGTGTGATTTGGATGCTCCCTTCTTTCCTTGCGTCTTGGATGGGATCTGAATGATTGAGAGGTGGGAGCTTTTCCCTTCCAGTGACCCACTCTTCCTGGGACAGCAGCTGATTTCACTCCTGTTTCTCCTCATCTGTGTGACACCTATTGCAGCCCCTTCTCCTCAGTCCCCGTGGGTTGGGTGTTTGTTCCCCGCCATGGTCAGCACACAGCAGCTCAAGATGAGCTTGCAGAAGGCACTGTACTTCTTAGCAGATGATTCTTGCTCTCTTTAATCAATCCTCTTTGTTTCCTTCCCTTTCTGCTGAGCTCCCCAGTGCTGGTGCTGTCATTCCCTGCTCTGGGTCCTACCTGGTGCCTGGAGCCTCCTTGCATGGATGGGATGCTGCAGCTGCTGCTCAAAGCTCTCCTCTCTGGCCTCCTGTGCCTCGCCTGGGGGCAGCGCTGGCAGCACCCGATGCTCCTCTCTCTGCCCTCGCAGTGCCCCAGGACCTGATGGACGCGCCAGGCTCTGCTCTGCCTCCCATGTGGCAGCCCAGCACCCGCAAGTCCTCCTGCTCCTCCTGCTCGCAGAGCGGCTCCTCCGACGGCGGACCAGCCAACGGCTGCAGCCACGAGAGGTACAGCAGCAGCGCCGCTCGCTTTGGGAACCGCAGGGAGCACGGGGCAGGGGAGCAGGAGACAGCTCGGGTGCTGGCCAGGCTGGAGCTGGCGCAGTGCAAGTGCTGCCTCCAGCCTCAGGCTTGGCTTGGCTGTGCAGGGGCCAGTGGGACGTGTCCAGGCTGAAGTGGGGCTCGGCGTCTCAGCTGCTCTGGGGCCGTGTCCTGCCAGCAGGAATTGCTGCTCTCAGGCTGAGCAGGGGGCCGGTGGGCACCTCTGAAGGCAAAGCTGGAGCAGTCAGATCAAAGCAGGGGTTCGGGGAGCACACGGAGCGTTTCCTCTCCTCCCATCCGATGTGTTTGTATTGGCAGAGCTCCGCTGAAGCTCCTGTGTGACAACATGAAGTACCAGATCCTCTCCCGGGCCTTCTACGGCTGTGAGTACTTGCCACATCCATGACGCCTTGAGATGCGTGGTGGGCACGGCACGAGCTCCTGGGATCCGGGCTAGGAGCGGTGCTGAGGGTCTCTTTCCGGGACCCTCAATCAGAGCTTCCTCCTGCTCTGCATCCTCCCGGCTCCTCGGGTTCTGTGGCTGAATGTTTGCTTCGGCCCGGCGCAGGGCTGGCCTATTGCAGGCACCTCTCCACGGTGCGCACCCACCTCTCGGCGCTGGTGAACCACAACATCGTGTCCCCTGATGTGCCCTGCAGCGCCAGCTCGGGGCTGACCGTGGACATCTGGCAGAGATACCTGCAGGACAGCACGGTAGGGCCGGTCCTCCTGGGATATACCTGCTGTGGGGCGCTTGGGAGCTCCTGGGTGCTGGGCAGCATCACTTCAGCGGTTGTAGCATCGTTTCTTGAGCGGGTTTGGTGGCCGCTTCCTGGCCAGTCGTTCCCAGGATGTGCGCCCACAGGGGCCGCTGGCTCTACTGAAGCCCAAGCAGAGATCTGAGGGGTCATGTGCAATGGACGGGCAGTGATCCTGTGGGGCTCAGTGTCTGGGCAGTGCTCGGGGTGGAGGGGCTGTGCGCCTGGCTGCGTGAGCGCTGACTCGGAGCTCTTCCCACAGAGTTACGAGGACCAGGAGCTGCTGCGGCTCATCTACTATGGTGGGATCCAGCACGAGATCAGGAAGGCTGTCTGGCCCTTCCTGCTGGGCCATTACCAGTTCGGGATGACGGAGGCAGAAAGGAAGGAGGTTGGTGTGGGTACAGGAGGGGATGGGGACGCTCAGCAGCCTTGTGCATTGCAGTGCTGTGCTCTGGGCACTTCACAGCTTGAAGGGTCTCTGTGCCAGAGCTCACCCTGTGAACTCGCTGGGTGTTGTGTCCCTTTGTACTGTGGTGGTAGGAGGTGGGAGAAGGACCTGGGGAAGCAGGAATTGACAGGAGCAAGCTCGGGCTCCCCGTGCAGCTGCTGGTTGGTTGTGTCCCGACATAACCAGGCCGGGAGGAGAGGGGTGGTCATTTTTCCATCCTGATTTTGCAAGGTTTTGTGGGTCAGGCTCTGGCTGGCACTGTGCAGATCGCAGCATCTCAGAACCCCAGGCTGGAAGGGACCTCAAGGATCATCTGGTCCAACCTTTCTAGGCCGGACCCTCTGCATCCCGTCCGCATCCTTTTTGCACAGCAGGGGCAGAGATGGGTGACCTGCATTTAGCCACGGTTCCTACAGGTGTGCACGTCCCTGTGCAGGGCTGCTGGGGGTGCAGGAGGGGCTGGTCCCGGGCTCCTCCAGGGCAGCATTCCCAGCGCCTGTGTCCGATCCCCCGTCCGCAGGCGGACGAGCAGACGCGCACGTGCTACGAGCACACCATGGCGCAGTGGCTGGGCTGCGAGGCCATCGTCCGCCAGCGGGAGAAGGAGTCGCATGCGGCTGCCCTGGCCAAGTGCTCCTCAGGGGCCAGCCTGGATTCCCACCTCCAGAGGATGATGCACAGGGACTCCACCATCAGCAACGAGGTGAGGGCTGCTCACCCAGCTTCCTGTTGGCCTCTGCTATGGGGTACCTGGTCCTTGCTCGCCCTCCTTCCCTGCCCCGTGTCCGCCTCCACACCTCATCGCTCGCTGCAGTCCATGCAAGTTAGACTTGGGGCTTTCTTACCCACCTTTCATGTGCTCTTGCAGCGCTCAGAAGCGGGAGGAGGCATCTCCCATGGCATGACCGCCGTTTCCGCGGCGTGTGGTGCTGCCCTGACCATGAGGTTTTGGTCTGAGGGGTGTACGGGGGGTCGAACAAATGTGCTTTGCTTCTTGCAGCAGCACTGAGCAGGTCTGCACCCACGCTGGGCACAGAGGCCCTGGAGGCAGGCGTGGAAGGGAGGAGAGGGCAGGGGGTCAGGCAGGGAGGAAGATGACGTTTCTGGCCCTGAGGGGCTGTGAAAGAGCCAAGTGGAGTCTTGGCTCCCTTCTCCATGTTCCTTTTTCTGCTGGCACCCAGCTCCATGGGTCTGGCTTCCAGCAGTGCAGCGAGGAGCCAGATCCAGAGCCCACACCAAGGGGTGTGGGGGGAAAAGGCTGCTAAAGGAAAGGCCGCCCTGGGAACAGAGTCCAGGGAGTGTTTCCGTGTGGGTTTTGCCCTTGGAAGCAGAGCAGCGCGGCTCAGCGGTGCTGGGTTATTGACCTCGAGCTGCCAGAGCGGGGCCAGGCTGGAAAGGGCTCGGTAGGTGCAGCTCCGGAGTCCTCTGGTTTCCTTTGGGGTTGCTTTGGGAAAGGGATGAGCTCAGTCCAGTGTGGGTTACACAGGGGGAGATGGAGGAAGGCAAATCTGAACCAGGGTCTGTGTGCAAGAGCTGATGGCTCAGCTCTGCAGGGCACGGGCAGAGGGGGCTGCACCCTGTGAGGGGGCTGAGGCTGTGGCTGCCCCATCCCTGGCAGCGCTCAAGGCCAGGTTGGACACAGGGGCTTGGAGCAAGCGGCTCCAGTGGAAGGGGTCCCTGCCCGTGGCAGGGGTTGGAGCTGGGGGAGCTTTAAGGTCCCTTCAACCCAAAGCATTCCCTGATTCTGTGACCCCCGTGGCATCTCTGCTGCTGTTGGCTCGTGTCCACCTCTGCCTGTGCTGGGAAGGGAGCACACAAAAAGTTCTCCCTTTTCCCATCTCACCCTGACGTTTCCTGTTAGCAGCCGCTGCCCTGGCCACGGAGGAAAGCTGTCGCCCTTCCTCTGTGCGCCAGAGCCCTGCCCAGTGAACACCCACAGCACGAGGCTGGGGCAGCTCCAGCTCACAGCGCTCTGCTTTCTGAGAGCCCTATTGTTTGTGCCTGATGTCCCTGCATCCCGAGCCCCATGGGCTCCTGTGCCGGGATAAGCCTGGCACTGGGATGGCTTGGATGACAAGGGGGCTGGTTGCCCAGCGGGAATCCATGGGGCAGAGCAAAGCCCAACCCTTCCTCCTGTGCTTCAGCTGGAAGCCAGAACAGGGTGCAGTTGGCTTTTAGAGGGTCAGCCTCAACGGAGTCTGGCTTTAAACATCAGTATTTGTCCTTTAAGAGAAGGAAAAAGCCATTAATGTGCTCGGAAGGGTGGTTTATGGGCTGTGACTTCATGGTTTATGTGAACCAGGATGGGGCGAGCTGTGATGCTGCCAAATTAGGACAGGGGGTTGTAGGAATCTGCTCTCCAGGAGGCAGCACGGGCTCTCCAGGGGCCAGAAGGAAGCGGTTCCCTCAGACCCACACGTGCTGGCTTGGCCTTTGTCATCTCCAGCAGGCCCTCAGTGGCAGGCTGGGGCAGGGCGCTGGGCTTGGGGCCGGCGTGCCGGGCAGAGCTGGGTGATGTGAACGTCTCGCATGGGTCAGATACGGGAGGTTACGGGGTGCGTTTTCACCTGCTCTGTGCCCACCTCTGCCAGCCTGGCCTCTCCCCGTGCCCTTTGCCTTTTCACGTCCTCTTCCCTCCCTTTCAGTCCTCGCAGAGCTGCAGCTCCGGCCGACAGAATCACGCCCGGCTGCAGAGCGACTCCAGCTCCAGCACCCAGGTGAGCAGCAGCAGCAGCCCCGTGTCCCCCCTGCTCCTTGAGGCCACCCAGCAGCCTGCGGTGCTCAGCCCCAGCTTGGGCAGCTCAGTGCCCACGGTGGTTTCTGGTGGGGGGGGATTGACTCCCAGCACCCTCTGGTGCCACCCAGCTCAGAGCCACGCGGTGCCGGTGGTGGGTGATGCTCCCCAGCCTGGGCTTGCAGGACCAGCCCCGCTGTGGCCTTCACACCTGAGAGCCCTGAACTGCTCCCTGTGTTGGTGGCCGTGGGTTTAACCAGCGTGGGGGGATGATGCTGTGCTGAGGGAAGTGCAGTCCTTCGGAGCCGGGGCTGTGGGCTCCGAGCTGTGTAAATCATCGAGCACTGACCTGCCACAATGCAGGCAGGGGAGCCTCAAGGCTGAGGTGTGCCCACGTATCCTCCAAGGCTGGTTCAATGGGGCAGAGCTGGATGCTCAGCTGGACTTGTCTTTCACTGCAGCAAAGATGCGGAGCCGCAGCCAGGCGCAGCGCTGGCAAATTAAAATGCCCTCAAGTGCTCTGGGACTTGCTTGTAGGAGCCCTGTGCGTGCAGAGCAAATCTTCCTCCTTCCCCGCTGCTGCCTGAGTGCGGCTCCTGGGGCCGTGTTCCCAGCAGCGTGCTGAGCACGGGGGCTCTTTGCCCTGCGTTGCAGGTGTTTGAGTCTGTTGATGAGGCGGAGCAGCCCGAGGCGGACGCTCAGCTGGAAGATGGCAAAGCGAGCAAGATCCCCAACGGGACCGTGCCCAACGGTGCCTGCTCCCCGGACTCCGGCCACCCCTCGTCCCAGAACTTCTCCATCGCGTCGGGGTTCTCCGAGCGCAGCTTCAGCAACGAGGACAGCGCCCTGGAGACCACCAAGTCCTCGGCCAGCTCCCAGGGAAAGGCGGGGGGCTCGGATGCGCCAGCCCCGCAGGACCCTGATGGGGCCCGGCAGGAGGAGAAGCTGCAGGGCCAGGACAGCCTGGAAGGGGAGTTTGCCAGCGGTGGAAGCGCGGACTTTGTTCCGGTGAGCTCCTCGGGGGTCCTGCGTGATGGAGACCGTGTGGCCCTGGCCGTGGTAGAGAGCTGGGCAGACAGCGAAGCTGAGAAGCAGAGCTTGGTGGAGAGTGAGGACACCCTCTCCGAGGAGCCGGAGATGGAGAGCCTGTACCCGCAGCTGGACTCCCTGCCTGCAGCTGATCTGGCCACCAGTGGAACGGCTGCCGTCTCCTCGACGGGTGTCACCTACTCGGTGAGCGTGGGCTTGTTCCCTGCGTGGGCCCGGCCTCGCTCTCTGCTCCCCGTCCCCCCCTGCAGCTTTCTTCCCGGTTTCCATTTAAAACCCAGCCAGCGTTGTGTTTGCTTTGGGCAGGCAGAGCTCCTGGACATGTACACGGTGAACCTGCACCGCATCGAGAAGGACGTGCAGCGCTGCGACCGCAACTACTGGTACTTCACCCCCGCCAACCTGGAGAAGCTGCGCAACATCATGTGCAGGTGGGAGCTGTGGGGCCGGCGGGGGGCACACAGGCACTTCTCAAAGCCCCTCTCCAGGTTTCGGGGGAGAATCCCCTCCCTGAGCTGCTGCTCGTGCTCTGGGGGTGCAGCCCAGCACACGGGGAGGTGGTTCTGGGCTCAGGTGCTCACTGCTGGCTCATGGGGAGCTTGTTATCATCCCCTCCCCATCCCAGAACTGGGCCACAGCCCCAGGACCCCGCAGTTAGCACACTGAGGAGCCCAGCATCCTGCCCTTTGTGCTCTGCCTGCTGTGTCTTGGCCTAAGCAGAGGCTCCCTGGGGATGCTCAGGCGTTCTGGACCTGGTGCAGCCCAACTGCTCCCTGGAATGTGTCTGGAAAACGTGATGAGGATGAGCCTGCAGAGCTGTGGTGCTAACGAGGGTGTGCCTGAAGCCACCGAGTGCTTAGTGCCTGCCCATGCCCAGCCATCCCAGGGGATCTGATTCTCTTTGCTCAGGCCCTGTGACTGAGGGGTTGCTGTGTGACGTTCAGCAGCTCAGAGCAGCTCCAGCTCAGCAGCTGGCGCAGCGAAGGCTGAACTGTCCTTCCCCATCTTGCAAACATGAGGAGAAGCTGCTGTTCCATGGGAGCCATCGCTCCGTCTGACAGCCAGGCTGGAGATCTCTGCTGGGATAAGGCCCCCGGTGCAGCAGACGTCAGAGGGGGCGGGCTGGGAAAGATCCTTCCCTTGTGCCAGCAGTGGATGCGAGCCCTTTTGGAGCACGTTTTGACTTGCTACCAAATATGGGAAGATATCCACAGGCTGGTTGCTTCCTGGGACATGGGGTCCCGGGAGGGGAAACGGGAACGTTGGGAGGACAGGGGCAGGAGGATGAGTTGAGGGGGAAGATGAGAATGAGAGGTGAATTCACACGCTGTCAGTCTGGATGACAACCCCACCCTGCTGTGCTTTCTGATTCCGCTCTTCCCCACACCGATTTCCATGCAGTGGCCATGGCACAGCCCTGGATCAACGCCATGGCCGTGGGCTGTGCCAGGCATGGCTTCTTAAAGTCACCACGGGAACTTAACCATAGAATCCCAGGTTGATTTGGGTGGAAGGGACCTTAAAGCTCCTCCAGCTCCAACCCCTGCTACAGGCAGGGACCCCTTCCACTGGAGCAGCTTGCTCCAAGTCCCCGTGTCCAACCTGGCCTTGAGCACTGCCAGGGATGGGGCAGCCACAGCCTTGTGCTGGTGGCAGCGTGCAGGGAACGCCGGTGCCCTGGGAGCAGAGGCAGGTTAGGAAGCGAGGCATCAGGCTGTGGCATGGGGAGGGCTCATGGGCCACCTTTCCTGCTCTCTCCCACAGCTACATCTGGCAGCACATTGAGATTGGCTACGTGCAGGGGATGTGTGACCTGCTGGCCCCTCTCCTCGTCATCCTGGATGATGGTGAGTGGGTGCCTCTGCTTTCCCTGGACCTTCATGGCAGCACAGGGCTCTGGTGCTGTGCTGGTGGTGACCCTTTGAGCTGTCCTGTGCTCAGGGGTGTGAAGCAGCAGGATTCCATTTGTGTTGGTGCTGAGTGACTCCCAGGAGCCCAGCCTGGGCACAGTGTGTGCTTGTTGCAGCCTGAGCTGCCTGTCCCTGGGCTCTGTGTGGAGCGGGAGGGATGTCCCTGCTGCCCGTGGGTTGTGGTGGTGGGGATGCAGCAGCGTCCCTGCAGCCCCAGTGACGGTCTCTTCCCCGCACAGAGGCTCTGGCCTTCAGCTGTTTCACTGAGCTGATGAAGAGGATGAATCAGAACTTTCCCCATGGAGGAGCCATGGACACCCACTTTGCCAACATGAGATCCCTGATCCAGGTAACAGGGTCCCGGCACAGGGACACAGCCTCAAACCAAGGCTGGTCTTGGGATGGGGGTCTCATGCAGTGGTGGGGAGCAGCAGGCTGTAGAGTCAGCCTGGAGTAACGAGTACCAGGACTGCGAAGCTGGGTGGAAGCTGCAGTGGGACCAGAGGAGAGCAGGCAGGGGCATGGCTGCTGCCTCCAACGTGCATCATTGAGTTTCCTTTTGCTTTCCTCGTCAGATCCTGGACTCAGAGCTCTTTGAGCTGATGCACCAGAACGGTGACTACACTCACTTCTACTTCTGCTACCGGTGGTTTCTCCTGGACTTCAAGAGAGGTGCGTGCTGAGGCAGCACGGGGCGAGGGAAGGCGAGGTCTGCGTGCCCTCTGCAGTTCTGCTTGTCTGAACTCGACCTCATGCTCCTGGTTTGCTCTTCCCTGGTAGATCTGGGGCTTTTCTGTGTGGATGCAGAACCCGGTGTTCCAGAGCGGCTGGGTTTGTGTCCTGAGCCTGCGCCATGTGCTGCAGCCGGGAGACCTGTCCCTGGCATGAGTCGCTTGTTGCTTCCACCAGGAACAGGTTCTGGTGGGAAGGAACCCCCAGCATCTTCCCAGGGCTGCTGTTGAGTCAGGGTGGTTGTAAAGCCAGGCTGGTGCAGTGACTGCTGGGCTTTCTCCTGTGTTACAGAGCTGGTGTACGATGATGTCTTTGCCGTCTGGGAGACCATCTGGGCAGCTGCACACGTCTCCTCCGCTCACTACGTGCTCTTCATAGCCCTGGCGTTGGTGGAAATGTACCGGGACATAATCCTGGAGAACAACATGGATTTTACAGACATCATCAAGTTTTTCAATGGTACAGCTGTGTCCTCCCGGGCAGCCACGCGCGTGTAGGCAGCACGTGTCCGACTGTAGACAGTCATCCGGGCCATACTGGTGTATGTTACAACAGATCCCGCCTTGCTGTGCTTGATGGGAGCTGTGGGCGCAGGCTGTGCCTCCTGCGGGCGGTAATCACCCCCAAAGGAGTCGTTAGTGATGGCTCCTCAGGGGTCTGTGAGGGATGGTGCTTGGGAGCTTGGGCAGGGATCTGTGGCTTCAGCTCCTGCTGGGAGCTCGGGGCTGGGGGGCTCCTCGGGACACGGGGTGCTCCTCGGGACACGGGGTGCTCCTCGGGACACGGGGTGCTCCTCGGGACACGGGGTGCTCGGATCTATCCTCCTCCTGTCTGTGTTCCAGAGATGGCCGAGCGGCACAACACCAAGCAGATCCTGAAGCTGGCTCGGGACCTCGTCTATAAAGTCCAGACTCTGATCGAGAACAAGTGAAGGACAGGGGGAAGGTGAGATATCCAGACAAGGAGCCGGGACGCCCCTCCAATGCTTCCTCCCCTTCTCCTCCTCCTCCAAGTGCCATGCCTGTGGATACAAGGTAGTTGGACACATGCTGCTGTCTAAGCTGGAAGTACCCTTAGCTCTCCACGTGCTGTGTTCAGTGTTAGGTCCAGTGCTCCTGGCTCACGTCTTCGCAGCCGCCTTCAGTGACTTAACCAAAGATCTGTGCAAGTGCATCTCAGTGCTGAGGACTTGCTTTGGGAGCACCCAAAACCAGCACCCAGGCAGAGCTGGGGCTGTGGGAGCTGCCCCCATCCCTGGGGCTGCCTTGGGCTCAGCAGCCTTTGCTGCAGTGGGATGGAGCTGCTCCTTGGGCAGGCGCTGCCCCATGGCACCAGGAACCAGCCCCACAAGCCCGGTGCTGCCAGTGCTCAGTTTGTGACCAACATCACGAGGTTCTGCCAGCAACAGAGGGGCTTGGATCACAGAAGTTCCCCTTTGATCTGGTCCCTCAGCGCATCCCCTCTAGGGTTATTTTTAGGGCTCTGTTCTCCCCCTGGGGGTTTTACATTGTTTGTTACTGCAGCATCCGAGCACACGGGAGTTTCAGCTCCGCATGGGTTTTCAGAAGAGCTCCAAATTCAGCGTTGGGCTTTTCTGTCAAACCCAGCTTCTCTGATGCTCTCTGAACACTGGAAAATCTGGTCCCAGCCTCCTCTGCGAGCTCTAGACCCGAGGTTTTCTTACCTGCCTTACTCGAGCTGCTCGTGGTAGGAGGCTGGTTCCTCTGTTAGGGGAGAGCTCCTCGGTGGGCAGGTCAGAGCTTCTGGGGGGGGTCTGTCCTCACCTTCCCTCTGAAGGTGCCTGTCTCCTCTGCTCATTTAAGGACCAGCTGCTCCAAGCAGGACAGTGCAGCCAATCCCCTTGGTGCCTGTGGGGTTTCTGCGTGCTTCTGGGCTTGGCTTCAAAGGCCCTTACATCCACCGTAAGTCTCCAGTGAGGTCTTGGTGGGCTTCTTTCAATGCCTGTGAAGAGGAAAATAGCCCGAGGTCCCTGAGTGGGCTCTGCTGTTGGAAGATGCCCTTCTGTGGCCCCTGCATGAGGTGCCTCTCCAGCCCTGCCAGTGTGAGAGCAGGGATGCCCATCGTGCTAGGGCTGCGCTAAGGAGGGTTTGGATTCATTCTTCAACTCAGGTACAAACACTAAAGGCAAAGGAGAGGGGTGGGTGCTTGGTAGCTCTGGTGCAGCCAGGGAGGCTTTGCGAGGGCCGCAGGGCTGCCGGGAGCCGTGCTCGCAGCAGCGGGGAAGGGGCTGGGTTCTTGGCTTCTTGCTCTCAAGTTTTGCTGCAAAATCTGTGTTCCCCTCCATGAAGTGTGTGTTGTGTGTGATGTGTGACGTGTGGTGTGTGATGTGTGACGTGTGTGGTGTGTGTGATGTGTGGTGTGTGTGATGTGTGGTGTGTGTGATGTGTGGTGTGTGTGATGTGTGGTGTGGTGTGTGTGATGTGTGGTGTGGTGTGTGTGACGTGTGGTGTGTGTGACGTGTGGTGTGTGTGACGTGTGGTGTGTGTGACGTGTGGTGTGTGTGACGTGTGGTGTGTGTGACGTGTGGTGTGTGTGACGTGTGGTGTGTGTGACGTGTGGTGTGTGTGACGTGTGGTGTGTGACGTGTGTGACGTGTGGTGTGTGACGTGTGGTGTGTGTGATGTGTGGTGTGTGGTGTGTGATGTGTGGTGTGTGATGTGTGGTGTGTGACGTGTGGTGTGTGACGTGTGGGGTGTGTGTGACGTGTGTGACGTGTGGTGTGTGACGTGTGGTGTGTGACGTGTGGTGTGTGACGTGTGGTGTGTGACGTGTGGTGTGTGACGTGTGGTGTGTGACGTGTGTGGTGTGTGACGTGTGTGACGTGTGGTGTGTGTGACGTGTGGTGTGTGTGACGTGTGGTGTGTGTGACGTGTGGTGTGTGTGACGTGTGGTGTGTGTGACGTGTGGTGTGTGTGACGTGTGGTGTGTGTGACGTGTGGTGTGTGTGACGTGTGGTGTGTGTGACGTGTGGTGTGTGTGACGTGTGGTGTGTGTGACGTGTGGTGTGTGTGACGTGTGGTGTGTGTGACGTGTGGTGTGTGTGAGGTGTGGTGTGTGTGACGTGTGGTGTGTGTGACGTGTGGTGTGTGTGACGTGTGGTGTGTGGTGTGTGACGTGTGGTGTGTGACGTGTGACGTGTGTGGTGTGTGGTGTGTGTGACGTGTGGTGTGTGACGTGTGGTGTGTGACGTGTGGTGTGTGACGTGTGACGTGTGTGGTGTGTGTGACGTGTGTGGTGTGTGATGTGTGGTGTGTGTGGTGTGTGTGACGTGTGGTGTGTGACGTGTGGTGTGTGATGTGTGACGTGTGTGGTGTGTGTGGCGTGTGGTGTGTGATGTGTGGTGTGTGTGATGTGTGGTGTGTGTGGCGTGTGGCGTGTGTGGCGTGTGGCGTGTGTGGCGTGTGGCGTGTGTGGCGTGTGACGCGTGGTGTGGCGTGTGACGCATGGTGTGGCGCGTGACGTGTGTGGCGCGTGATGTGTCATGTGTCGTGTGTGGCGCGTGATGTGTCATGTGTCGTGTGTGGCGCGTGATGTGTCGTGTCGTGTGTGGCGCGTGATGTGTGTGGCGTGTGATGTGTGTGGCGTGTGATGTGTGTGGCGTGTGATGTGTGTGGCGTGTGATGTGTGTGGCGTGTGATGTGTGTGGCGTGTGATGTGTGTGGCGTGTGATGTGTGTGGCGTGTGATGTGTCATGTGTGTGGCGTGTGATGTGTGTGGCGTGTGGCGTGTGATGTGTGGTGTGTGTGTGCACGTTCTCCTCCCCTCTGCAAGGTAAGGCCCTGCTCTTCTCTTGCTGCTGGCGTGCTGCTCTCCCGAAGGGGAAAGGGGCCCTTCCCTCTCTGGAGCATCTGTCTGTGCCGTGTTCTGTACTTCGTCGTGGCACGTGTCAGCCGTTCCATGCGGGAATGAAGAGGGATGTGGATCTGCAGGAGGGAAGGCTGCAGCTGCAGAGCAGCTCTGGAGCGTGCTGAAGTGGTTTGCAGCTCCCCAGCAAACCGGCTGCTCCTTCTGTAGTGCCAGAGAGCCTGCAGCTGGGAGATCCAGGGGCCAGCAGCACAGACTGAACCCACTGGAGGCTGCAGCGATGGGGAGCCTTTCCTTCCCCATAACCCCAACAAGCAGATGTGTACCAGCGATCTAGGAGATCTCTTGAAGCAGTTGTCTGCGTTAAGTCTCCCAAGAGTGCTTGGTCTGCAGCAGCAGAGGGAGCAGAGGCCCCTGAGCTTCAGCTCTGCACTTGGTGTGGGAATCTTCCCTCTTTCCACAAAGCAGGGTGCAGGCTGTGCCTGTTCCCTCTGCCTCCCAGCACAGGCATCCCCTGCTCCAATGGGGAAGGGAAATGCTCCCTCCTCCCCTCTGAGGGACCAGAACCAACAGCTGAGCTTACACAGTCTTACCAGGCAGCATCGCTGACACTTTATCTTTCAAGCTCCTGTTTTAATTCCTTGGTTTTCACGCAGAGAAAGCCAAGACATTCTGCACCATATTTGCTCTGTGTTGACCGAGGGTGTCTCTGGGCCGCTCAATAGCAGTGTCTTTTGAGTAACTTCTGGGGCAAAGAAGTCTTTATTTCTTGGTTGTTCTTTACTGTGTGTCCTTGTACACTGGAGTACGTGGGTGTGCTTTGTTATGCAAATGGAGATCTATCTTTTCAATGTTCTTTCCAATATCTTGTAAGCGTTTACCAGAAAAGTGTGTCTATATGATATCTATATATATGGTATAGAGAGAAATATGTGAATTAAGCGGGTTATTTTTTGAGGGGGGTGGGAGGGAGAAGAACTCTTTTGCTTCTAAGAACTGTGTGGTTCCTATAGCACCTACTCCATGATGTGCCAATCTGTCACTGTCCCTGTACTGTGAGAGTTGTTCTGGTACAGCAGCAGGAGGCTCAGAGCAGAGCCCCCATCATGACCTCAGCCTGGGTTTAGTTCTGACCTTAAAACTGGGAAAGAAGAAAGAGAGGAGGAAAAAGCGTTACAAAAGGCTTTGTTTGAGCACTGGGGCTGAGCTCCACTGAGCAGACCTCTGCTGTGCCAGCCCTGGGATTAGCCTGTGCAAGGGCAGTTGCAGGGTTGAGGCTTGGTGTGGGTTGCAAGGAAATGGGATAGTCCCAAGAACACGGTCTGTCATTTAACGGGGGAGTGAAGTCATTCTGCCCCGCAGCTGATCAGACCTCTGGTTAGGAAAGGGGAATTGCATGATCCGGACAGCAGGCAGGACAGGACCAGGCTGTGGCAGTCCCTGTGCTCTGCTCTTCCCCAGCCCCTGTCCGTGCGTGATCCCAGCTTGGTCTGAGCATCAGCTCCGCAGTGGCAGCTCTGCTCCTTGCTGGCCACAGGTTTAGGTGCTTGTGGAGACCTGGTGTGCAGCAGCACCAGGAGCCTGGGGCTCAACATCTATTTGATGGTTAAAGCCTGCTAAATTTAAGCACAGGTTTTCATTGTGCAGCTGCTCGTGGCCCTCCTGTCCCGCTCTGCCCCTCTGCTGGGATGAAGCTCTATTGTGGGCTCCTGACAGTGAGGATCCCATGGCCCTGTGGGACACGCAGCTCTCCCAGCTGTGCTGCCACGGGATCGTGTTTACCACAGCGGGAGAAGCCCATGGCAGGGGAATTCTTGCCCTTATACAGTCATCTTGTCTGGCTCCCTGGGGAGAGGAATGGCTCATCCCAGCGGCTCCGTGCCGCTGACATCCACCCCCTGCAATGGCACTGCAGGCTGGGACTATCTTTAGCCTGGTTGCTCTGTTCTGTGGGACCAGGGACTGGAGCTGCTGCCCCTTCTGACTCGAGGCGGCTGCATCCTGCCCCTGCGCACAGCATCCCACTTGTCCCAGCACATGTTCCCTGCTCCGGGTGGCTCCAGACCGAGCTGGAGTGAAGGATGGACATGGGCTGAGATGCATTGCACCCGTGCTGAGCATCCTCAGAGGCATGAGGGATTCACTTTATGAGCTGCTCAGCTCACAGTTATCTTGGTATCTTTAAATATAGTGAAAGTCCCAGTGCCATGTTCCCCGAGGGTGTTACTGATGGATTCCCTGTCTGCATTTGAGCTTTCTGCTGATGCAACCCACCAAATAGCTCCCGGTACCCATCCCTTTCAGTGTTACTCATGTAAACCCTTTAAAAGTTGTCTTTGTTCCTAAACACGTGGGTTTTACAGGAGTTGTTCTCTCACTGTGTT